CAACAGATGCATAGAAGAGTTGAAGTGCTTATCAAACCACTCAGAGAGTCTGGGTTATACCGTGCCTGCAGGCACAGTGTCTGGTAACAGATTACGCTCGTGTGGTTCGACTGAGTATCATACAGCAACAAACCAATAGGACAATTGCCAAAAGGCATTTCACTATAGCCCTTTTTCTCAATATAAGCTGCATTACTAGACCTCAAGCAGTTGATGAGTGTCCTGAGGAAAAAAACTTTTGGGTAATGTTGAGTCTTATGATTTTAGGTAAGATGAATAGACTGAATAGACTACATGAATAGTTGACATTTCAATACAAAAAATAATAACTGTGATATGTATTTCCCGATGGGCAAAGATGATACCTATAGCTCCCTATAAACAAGAAATTGTGAAAAGCAAATATTAAATATTTAAATATAGTTAAGATTATGATTAATTTCTAAAATCAGTAAATCCATGTGGCTGATGCATGATGCCCTGTACAAAACAGTGTTGACACAAAATCTGCAAGAAAAGCTTTTGTAATCATAAGCATGATAACCGTCTGAGACAATATTTTGTGCTTTTGTGGTGTCCAAGACAACGTTGCTGATAATGCCGTGATGATAAGAAGTCCGCTTACACTGTACTTTGATTATAAAGGTTTATTGTATCAAAGATCACAGTATCAATTTACAGACATCTGCAGATATCTGGAGAGAAACGGCCAATCTGTTGATCCAATATGTTGTCTCTCTCCCCATCCTTTGTTTAAGACACGGTATTTATATCCTATGTGACATAGTATGGCGTGATTTTAATAAACCAATCCCCGGCTTTCACATATCTCCAAATGTCCTCTATTCCAAGAAACCTATGTAGCAATGCTTTTCCAAATGCTTCAGCAAAGCAGAGTAAAGTTAATCTATTACACCATTTGCAAACATCAGCAAAATCAATAGATCTTCAGACACTACACTTTCAACTTGATTAGCATACTACAGGGATGGACTGGGACCAGTCCAATTGATATTGGGCAACCCAAATTTATCCACTGTGCCAGTATTCATGATCCAGTCCATGACCTGATGTCAGTGTGTTTGTGTTTCTCTGCTAGAGATTCTGTTTCTCTGTCTTTAAATCATAATAAGAAAAAAATGATATATATATATTTTATTTTTATTTTTTATTTCACCTTTATTTAACCAGGTAAGCCAGTTGAGAACAAGTTCTCATTTACAACTGCGACCTGGCCAAGATAAAGCAAAGCAGTGCGATAAAAACAACAACACAGAGTTACATATGGGGTAAACAAAACATAAAGTCAAAAATACAAATAGAAAATATATGCAGTGCTAACACACATGAGCATACACTTTCTAAAATAATGACTTGTAGCAAGACTAAATTCTAACTCTAACCATGTTTCCATCCAAAGTTTTTATGCGAGTAAAGTCATACTGTAAAAAAAAAATCACGAAATCTGTGACGGAAACAGGAAGTTTCAGTACAATTTTATAAATGCCGACAGATCATTTGTTCATTTGACATGGTGCGATCTTTTTGTGTCGGTAAAATTCTTATATGCACCTTTATGATCAAATATGAATATAATAACCATTATATGAAGGTCAATTTGGAGCTGCGATGATATGGCGTGTGGTCCTCCCACTACAACTCAAGAAACCATGCAGTTTATTAGGCTACAGATTAAATCATTTATGATGAACTTCACAGGGTGGTGAAAGTGCACAGTGATGAGTTTGATGCTCCTTTCCAATAAATATTGATGGTCTTATTCTGGTGACATGATGATCGATGCTTGACTGCCGTTTGACAAATTAACATATTCTCGCTCTTATTCATAATAATCTCATAATGTAGACTAGCCTACCCATACAGCCTACTCACACGGTATCTGCGAGCTGTTGCCAAGACCAGAGTAGGCAAATTTGCTATTTAACGCAACGTTTTAAAAAAACGAAACTAGAGTCAAATATGCAATGAAAATAGATTGAACTTTAGATATTTATTCGGTATATGAAAACTTCAGGGAAAAAGTACATTTTGTGTGCACTATGTCACCATGCACTGATTCTTATCTGCAACAAGTCAGTTTGGTGGGAACACAACTGGTGGGAAATGCACATATTCTCTTAATGCGGATTTTTGAATATTCACATGAGAATCTGTCGCCAATTGGATGGAAATCTAGCCAATGACACAGAATAATATCCCCTTTTCTAACACCTCGTTTTATGCTGTGAACAGTAACATCAGTAACTGACAAAAGGATTAGATAAGATGTGAACTATGTGGCTCAATTTCACTTGTGCTGATGTAAAGAGAGAAGAGTTCCACAACTTTGTATTGTATTATTGTCTGTAACCATAAACATTTCAGAAGAATTGGAAAGCTATTAAGAGCAAGGGTAACTGAGTTACTAGCATGTATAGTGTTTTATGAGTACAATACATTACTGGAGGTGACAACTGTGTAAGAGAAATGGATTCAAACCTTAAAATACTGTATGTCCTATTACACCTTCATCCATAAAGCCCTTATTCTTGAGTTGAATTCCACTGAATTAAAGCTGCAATGTAACTTATTGGGCGAGCTGACAAAATTCACATAGAAATGTGAGTTATAGATCTGTCATTCTCATTGAAAGCAATTATAAGAAGCGGTAGATCTGTTCAGCGTGTGATATTTCTATGCTTCCTGTTCAAAAGTTTCGTTTTTGCATCTTTTACTTTCGGTTTTGTACACCAGCTTCAAACAGCTGAAAATACAATATTGTTGGTTATGGAAAATATATTTCGCAGCGGTTTAGATGGTACAATGTTTTCTACTCTATACCTGCTTGTTTTGTCAAATAAACTGAAATTAGGCGAACCATTATGAATTTTAACAACCAGGAAATGGATGCGCGATTTATGCATAGTGCATCTCGAAAATATTTGCATTAGGAAAAAAATTAATACTCAAAAGGCATTGCATTTCGTATTGATACCTCGTAAGTTTATTCACATTCTGTAATGTGTTAACATTAAAATACAATGTCACCTTTTCAATATACCATTTAGCCTGATAACCCAACTTTAAAGTACATCCTTCAAACCATTTTAAAGGCTTCTATTTGTATTGCATCTATTCAACCAAGTTAGTACAACATGCAAAGCAAAAATACAATATATCATATGAAAATATAATGGATATTGCGATAGAACATGATGATTTACAAAGGAAAGTACTTCTAAGGAAGAACAAAACAAGCAATTGTGTTGGGAAAATGAACACTGGTTCAGGAGGCAACAAGTGACAAAGCTTAAAGATATTTTTCAAATACATAGAATACAGTCAGTAAAGATTTTTGTCTTATACATTTCAAAACATAGAATTATTTTTGTGATAAACATTTATTTAAATCTTAGCCTTGTACAAATGTTCTTAGTTTATTCTATTGAAATAAAAGGGTATTGATGCGTTATGAATACTGTATGACTGTCAACTTGGGAAATACCTGATAATAACCATATTTTTCCAGTTGTGAAACACTCAATTTACAGTATTATTCACACCTTGTAGTCTATGCAACCCTTTCATGCATTGAATATGCAGGCACTAACAACAACATTTGAATACAGCAATTGTGGTTTGTGTGGTGGTGGTTAGGGCTGTTACTGTTTGAGATCTGATATATTAGTAAGCAGGTGTAGGGTCAAAGGTACAGGCAGTACAGTGATTCATTATGTTTTGCTTAATAAACATCAACATCTGCCTTTTCAGAGTTATTTGTTAATAAATGGCTGAAAAATAAAAAGGCTAAAATGAATTATGTAAATGTATCTCGGTGTAGTCTTGAGTGTGAACGTTGCCGTTTACTTCAGGTAAGTTCTTCGTTTTGACTCAAGGGTCTCAGGAAATAGTAGGAGCGGAGATAGCTAAGGGAGTAAAATACAGACAAAACAAAATGAAGAAAAAATGACTTGAAGATACAGAATTTATTTAAGATTTGTGTCTGGCAAAAAATTTCAAATCAAATCAAATATTTAATCACTTACTTTTCAAAACAGTCTAGAGAAGCAATGGTTCTGCTGAGAAGTTATTTCAGCTTTAGATGAGACCAGTGGTGTCCAATGGTGTTTCATGGTGATTTAGGGCATCTTTTACTTCAAGTGTGTTTGTCCATGTTTTATTATGTTGGGATTGCCATCTTTGGAATGCTCTCTCCATACAGATACTTGACTGTATAAAGACTGCATAGTTTTAACTGATTGGTAGTCCATTGTATATCACAAGCAGGGGATAGGTAGAATCCAGACATTGGCACAGTATTAGCGGCAATGTAGTTGAGATGAGAAAAGATCTTGAAGCTTGGTTTTCTTGAAGCATTTCTTCCAGTGTTATAAGAATTCATTGTTCTGTGACTCCTTATTCTGCTCTGCAGATTGGAAGATTTCCTCTCTATTTCTACATATTTTAAATTACCTTCTCCTACCAAATATACACATGTACAGACGTCAGTTTAACAGCTTTTACATCTAATTTGGTTTGCCATAAAAATTGATAAATGGAATTTAACAGAATAATTTATTTTAAATCAAAATATAATTTTAACTCAAAAGTCAGAAAATGTAACTATGAAGAATAATGAAAATTAATAACAAGCTGACTTAAAAATAGAAAAATGTCAATATGTCTAAAACTGAAAACTTTATTATGAATTTCATTGTAGTTGCTAAAAATAAAAATATAGTTTAAATACAGACAGCTCTTCTGTACGTAAGCATATAAACAATGCAACTTTGCAGTTAAAGTAAATAAAAATAAAAAAAGACTTCTCAGACACAATACAAAACAGAGCAACTGAAAATGTACTTTGAAAATGTACAACTGAATAAAATATTGACAAAATTAACTTAAAGCCAGCAAAAATAATTATAATATATTGCTGAAAAGCCCCATAATAACTACATGCTGAGCAGAATAAAGGTAGTCTATTTTTCTAATAAGAATTAGGCAACTGGCGAGTAATTGGTCTGTATTATGGTGAATTTTCTCTGTTCAGAACTGCAGTTCCTGCCCGTTGCTAATGATGTCAGGGCCTGTGCTAGCTCATCCATGCTAAGTCCGCTGTGTGATCCTGCATCATATCTGCGCCCATAGCTTGTGGAGCTGAAGGATGAGGAAGATAAATTAGTGGAGAAACTAGAGCCTGTGGCATCAAAGCTCCCTCGTCTGGAGCCTGACCTGGAGCCAGTTCTTGAGTCGGGTCGGGAACCGGATGCTGACCCAGAACCGCTAACACTGTAAGGACTGTAAAGACCTTTACTTGACTGAGAAGAGGCTTCCAACAGACGCAGACCAGAACCCTCCTCAATCATGCTTCTATCCATGGCATCCTTGTATGAGATCTTAAGCTTTGTCTTGGGGCAGGTGAGGTATTTGGAGTATCCACTGACATCTCGTAGCTTCTGTGCAGTACGTGCATCTAGGGTGCCCTTGTTGATAGCAACATCCAGTGGAACTCTGCCAGTGACCTCTGGTTCAATCAAACCACCAGTTAGATATTGTACTTCCAGGAATCTCTGACCCGCCTCGTAGTACAACCACCCCTTTTTTAATGCTTGTGCAGCAGACATTTTTGTTTTGGTTCTGGGATCCTCAAATCCATTGAAGGCCTTCTGTGCCAGGTTGATTCGGTCAACCATGATCTTATCCACAAGTCCCATGTTCATTGCATCTGCAACTGAGAACTTCTCTCCAGTGTTTGGATCAATGATGCCACCAGTGGAAGCCTGAGCCTCCAGCAATCTTTGACCTGTGATATTGTCCACAAGACTTCTGTGCATGGCTTCTGTGACTGACACCTTCTCCAATGTGTCAGTATCCAGTATTCCAGCCACAGGGCCAGTTTCTTCTGTTGGGTCATTCCATATTGTTGCTGGGAGTTTGATAGAGGGGGCTGGGCTATTGGAGTGAGATGATGTGGACCCAAAGGAGGATGACCTAGATCTCGTGCCACTTATGTTTCCGGACAGCATGTCTGCAAACTCTGTGATGGACAGAGTGCCAGCACGGTACTGATCCAGAGCAGACTGGTCAATGAGGCCCTTTGTGGTGGCATCATCAATATCATACTGTCGGCCAGACCTTCTATCAATGATCATGGACTTCACAACACCATCAGATGAGGAGATAGTAATCTCCTCCCACTCACACTCCTGATCTGCAAGCTCCATGTAGGTCTGGTGATCAATAAGTCCTTTACGATATGCCTCATACACAGACATCTCTTTGCCTGTCTCTGGGTCAACAATGACTACTCTACGTTTACGCACAGATGATTTGGAGGATGTCTTCCTCTCACGTTTCTTTTCTTTTAACAGCAAAAGTGCAAGTCCAGTTTCCGGGTCAATCAGGCATCGCTCCATCAGCTGCAGGTAAGTGAGATTCTCCTCAGTGTTAGGGTCAAAGAAGCCTTTAGTGTCATCAGATGGGTCTGTAAGAATGCCATTCATCTCCTCATCAAACAGACCACGTGTGTAGGCCATCTCGACTGGCAAGCGGTGACTCTCTTCTGGATCAATGATCCCACCAGTGGCAATTTGGGCTTCCAATAGACGAATGCCATGGTCTTTCAGAATGAGACCCTTTTTCATGGCCTGAAATAGAGAGATGGTCTTGCCAGAGTACGGATCCCTGTAGCCTGTAACGGCACGCTCAGCAGAGATGAGCTTGTCTTTGAACTCTGGACCAACGACTCCCATTTTAACAGCTTCACCGACATTGAGCTTCAGGTTTTTTATTGGGTCAATTATATATCCTGTTGCTGCTTGAGCCTCAAGAAGTTCAAAGGCTGTCCCGGGTCTTATCATGTTCTTTTTCATTGCTTGGTAGATGGACAGGCGGTCTTTGCTGGATTCTACATATACTCCGGCAATGCAGCTTGTGCCCTCAAGGTACTTCTTCACTTCTCTGCTGACCTCTTCTACTGAGATAAGGCCTTCAATGAGATCATTGTATGTCTTTTGGTCAATAATCTGCGAACGAAGCAGCTCATCCAAGGTGATTTGCTTTCTGAGACCCTTGAAAAGCAGCCTTCTGTCTGCCAGTGAAAGTAATTGCAGACCACTCTCTTTATCAACTTTGCATCTCTTCAGCAGCTGGGCATAGGTCTGTCTCTCCTCTGTGGTTGGATCAACATAACCTTGTACATCACCGTTTGGATCAGTGATCCTGTCATATGTTTCCTTATTGATGTACCCGCGTTGCATGGCAACATCTGTGGGAAGGTGGAAGTAGTATTCTGGATCCATAAGGCCTCCAGTGGAAGCCTGGGCTTCAAGGAGCCTTAGGGCATAGTCCTCAGGAACAAGGCATTTTTTCATCGCTTGGAAGAGAGAGATTACTTTTCCACTGTAAGGATCCTTGTAGCCAGTGACTGCCCTCTCGGCAGAAAGAAGTTTGTTGTGGATTTCAGGGCCGACTATCCCTTTGCGCACAGCCTCGTCAACTGTTAGCAATTCATCTTTGACAGGGTCAATGATGAATCCTGTTGCTGCTTGTGCCTCCAGGAGACTGATACCAAAATCAGGCTTAATGAGACCTCTCTTAATGGCCTGGTAAATACTGACCTTAGAGGGGGAGTCTGAGAGGATTCCAGCAATACTGCCAGTGCCAAAAAGATACTGCTTTACAGATGGTATTTCCATAACCTCACGGATAGTTTTCTTCTCTTGCTTCAACAGATTGTATGTTTGAAGGTCGATAATGCGAGAACTGTAGAGCTCCTCAATAGTGACTCTTCGTCTGATTACATCACAGGACATGCTCTGCTCTACTTTCAGTATCTCCCTTTGTTCAATGATTTCAATGACGATGATGATCATTCTGTCCTTTGTGATTTGCCCACGGCGATACTGTTCCAGGAGCCTTAGCTTTTCCTCCTCAGGGAGCAGGTTTGACCCAATGACATCCCATAGGGTCATTACCTTCCCTGCATAGGTCCCAAGAGGGATATCCACTTGAGTGTTAGTCAAGTCTGTCTGTGCCTGTTCTTCTGTGTATACGTAGGACTTTTCCACTGGAGTTTGAGCTTCAGCCTTTGATAGTGTCAGGAAGCACAGACCGGTATCTGGATCTCTTATGCATTTCTCTTGCAGTTGTTTATAGGTGTAACTTTCATTAGTGTTAGGATCAACGAAGGCTTTGATATCCCCTGAGGGGTCAGTAAAGGTCTTAGCCATCTGCTTATTGAAATAGCCACGTTGGAAGGCCACATCATTTGGAACACGGTGGCTGCTGACTGGGTCAATAATTCCTCCTGTGGCCACTTGAGCTTCCAACAGGGGAATGGCATGTTCTCGTAGCACAAGCTCCTTCTTCATGGCTTGGAAGAGTGAAATCTGGTTGCCTGTGTATGGATCTCTGTAACCAGTCACTGCTTTCTCAGCTGAAAGAAGTTTCTCATGAACCTCAGGACCAACAACTCCTGCTTTCACAGCATCATCCACAGTGTACCTCTGGTTTTTGACAGGATCGATAATGAAACCAGTTGCTGCTTGTACCTCGAGCAATGCAATACCTGTAGTTTGTCTCAATATATTATTCTTCATTGCTTGATAAATGCTAACCTTTTCCTTTGAGTCACCCATATAGATGCCTGCAATCTGTCCATCTGTTCCTTGCAAGTACTTCCTGACTATGTCCATGTCACTGATTTCTTTGGGTTTCTTTTTGCCCTGTTGGAGTTGATCATATGTAGCTTTATCAATTATTTTGGATTCAAACAATGAGCTGGCAGTGACAGTTGATCTAAGCCCTTCAAAGCTGGCCTGTTCTTTTTCCTGTTTCTTGGTCTCCTTTTTATCAACCATTGTGACAAGGATTGTAATAATTCTTTCAATAGTCACTGTTCTAGTTCTGTACTGTCGAATCAACTCGATTCTTTGTTCCTCTGTAATATATTCAGAGTTTATGATCTCCCAAATAGTGACTTTCCTTCCTTTGAAAGGTCCATACTGCAGCTCCATAGTTGCCTGATTCAGGGCATCTTTGATCTGGACCTCAGTGTATTGATGATCCTCTTCTGACTTGTAATGCTCCTCTTTTGACTTTTGAATTGCTTTCTCTGAGAGTGGAAGAAATGGAAAACCAGTCTCTTTGTCAGTGACACATTTGTTCATGAGTTGTACATACGATGCATTTTCCCACATGTTAGGATCAAAGAATACTTTAGTTTCATCAGTGTTGTTGCTCAAGGTCTTGTACATTTTATCGTCAAAATATCCACGTTTGCAGGCAACATCATGTGGGATGCGATAACTTTTGACTGGATCAATTATACCTCCAGTTGCAAGCTGAGCCTCTAGCAGACGGATACCCTGGTCATTCTTAATAAGGTCTTTCAACATTGCCTGAAATAGGGATACATTATTTCCAGTGTAGGGATCTTTGTACCCATTAACAGCTCTCTCTGCAGACAGAAGTTTTTCATGCATCTCTGGGCCAACAAGACCTGATTTAACAGCCTCATCCACAGTGAGCTTCTGATTTTTGACAGGATCAATTACAAATCCAGTCCCAGCTTGAGCCTCAAGAAGAGTCAATGCAGTCTCGGGAGAGAGCATCTGTTTCTTTACAGCCTGATAGAATGGTATTTTTTCCTTTGTTGACTCAACGATCACTCCAGCAATGCTATGAGTTCCTCTTAAAGCTTTCTTAACACGCTCCATCTCAGAGATTTCTTTGACAGTTGTTTTGCCATTATACAATTTGTTGAACAAGTCTTTATTAATGATCTTAGATTCTAGAAGTTCAGCTGCAGTGACAGGAGTCCTCAGACCGTCAAACACAATTTCATTCTTCTTCTCTTTGCCTTCCACGACACTAATGACACGTTTGATACATTTTTCCACTGTGATTTTTCTGGTCTTGTACTGACTAATCAGATCCTTCCTCTGTGGCTCAGTAAAATACTCTGAGTTAATGATTTCCCAAGTGGTCACAGTCTTGCCTTGGAATCTTCCAAATGGAACAGAGATATTTGCTTTAGTGAATACATCTTTAGTCTCTTCAGTTGTATAGGTCTTGTCACTTTGTGCAGCGTTCTCTGTGATTGGTAACACAAGTAGGCCTGTCTCTGCATCTGGGGTGCACCTCTCCAATAGTTGCTGATAAGTGAGGCTCTCCTGAGTGCTTGGGTCAATGAATAACTTTGAGTCATCAGAAGGGTTTGATAAAGTTCTGTTCATCTCAGCATCCAATTGGCCCTGCTTATAGGCTGTCTGGAGTGGTACACGGTGACTATTGACAGGGTCAATTATTCCACCAGTTGCAATCTGAGCATCCAGAAGTCTAACGGCCTGGTCTTTTTCAATCAGCCCCTTTTTCATTGCCTCAAAGAGTGAGATTTTGTCTCCAGTATAAGGATCTTTGTAACCAGTAGCTGCTTTTTCTGCAGAAAGCATTTTGTTATGGAGTTCTGGACCTATTAATTCCCCCTTTACAGCTTCATCCACAGAGAGCATTCTGTTTTTCACTGGATCAATGATGTACCCAGATGCTGCCTGAGCTTCAAGAAGCATTGTGGCAGCGCCAGGAGAAAGTTGATTCTCTTTCATGGCCTGATACACACTCATTTTTTGCTTGGCCGGGGTCAAGACTCCGCCAACACTATTCTTGCCTTTGAGACATGTTTTCACTTTCTCTGTCTCGCTCAGGTCTTGCACAGTGGTTTTCCCTGTTTTCAGCATGTCAAAGTCCTTTTTGTTCAGTATACCAATGTCATAGAGCCTGCTGGCAGGAACCTTCTCCCTAATCCCATCAAAAGCAAATGGTGATTCTTTGTTTTTCTTCGCACCGTCTACTACTGCAGAACCATTGAATACTTTATTTGTAGTTCCCACCATTGTCATTGCAATTAGCTCATCTTCAGGGACCTCATCAGTTTGAATCTCCGTTTCTTTAGTGTGGGGTGTTGCTAATTTTTTAGGTGTAGAAAGTTGCTGCAGCTTCTCGCGAAGCTTTTTATTCTCCTCACCCAGCAATTTCTCTTGTTCAAGCCTTTTCTTTTCAAGATCCTGCATCTCTTTCTGCTTGTTGCACATCTCCTCCTCAGCATCCTTCTGCTTTTTCACAGCGGCATCCATGATAGCCTGGAGTTTTTTCTTCTCCTGTTCCATCTGCTCCCTTTGATGATCCTGCTCATCTTTGAGGGCTTTGGCCTTCTTAACCTCATCCTCAAACTGTTTCTCAAGTTTATTTCTCTCTTTCTCAATGAGCTTTTCTTTTTTCAGCAACATTTGTTTTTCTGTCAGGAAAGTCTGCTCAAGAACGGTCTTTTCCTGTTTAATTTGTTTTTGTTGGGCATTGGCCATCTAATTTGGAAAAAAAATAAAGAAAAAATTAATACAACTCCAAACAAACATTTTGCACATGGTCTTAACATTATATTACACTGATTATACTTAACTGCTGAATAATATAATCAATATATTCATATATAAAAATGATATGTTATACAGTACCAGTCAAAAGTTTGGACACACCTACTAATTCAGGTTTTTTTCTTTTTTTTAAAATTATTTTCTACATTGTAGAATAATAGTGAAGACATCAAAACTATGAAATAACACATATGGAATCATGTAGTAAACAAAAAAGTGTTAAACAAATCAAAATATATTTGAGATTTGAGATTCTTCAAATAGCCACTCTTTGCCTTGATGACAGCTTTGCACACTCTTGGCATTCTCTCAACCAGCATCACCTGGAATGCTTTTCCAACAATCTTGAAGGAGTTCCCACATATGCTGAGCACTTGTTGGCAGCTTTTCCTTCACTCTGCCGTCCGACTCATCCCAAACCATCTCAAATCGGGTTGAGGTCGGGGGATTGTGGAGGCCAGGTAATCTGATGCAGCATTCCATCACTCTCCTTCTTGGTAAAATAGTCCTTACACAGCCTGGAGGTGTGTTGGGTCATTGTCCTATTGAAAAACAAATGATAGTCCCACTAAGCCCAAACCAGATGGGATGGCGTATCTCTGCAGAATGCTGTGGTAGCCATGCTGGTTAAGTGTGCCTTGAATTCTAAATAAATCACAGACAGTGTCACCAGTAAAGCACCCCCACACCATAACACCTCCTCCTCCATGCTTTACGGTGGGAAATACACATGTGGAGATAATCCGTTCACCCACACCGTGTCTCACAAAGACATGGTGGTTGGAACCAATAATCTCCAATTTGGACTCCAGACCAAAGGACAAATTTCCACCGGTCTAATGTCCATTGCTCATGTTTCTTGGCCCAAGCAGGCCTCTTCTTATTATTGGTGTCCTTTGGTAGTGGTTTCTTTGCAGCAATTCGACCATGAAGGCCTGATTCACACAGTCCCCTCGTAACAGTTGATGTTGAGATGTGTCTGTGACTTGAACTCTGTGAAGCATTTATTTGGGCTGCAATCTGAGGTGCAGTTAACGCTAATGAACTTATCCTCTGCAGCAGAGGTAACTCTGGGTCTTCCATTCCTGTTGCGGTCCTCATGAGTGCCAGTTTCATCATAGGGCTTGATGGTTTTTGCGACTGCACTTGAAGAAACTTTCAAAGTTCTTGAAATGTTTCGTATTGACTGACCTTCATGTCTTAAAATAATGACGGACTGTTGTTTCTCTTTGCTTATTTGAGCTGTTCTTGCCATAATATGGACTTGGTATTTTACCAAATAGGGCTCTCTTCTGTATACCCACCCCTACCTTGTCAGGGGGGATATACAGATTGGCTCAAACACATTAAGAAGGAAAGAAATTCAACAAATGATCTTTTAAGAAGACACACCTGTTAATTGAAATGCATTCCAGGTGACTACCTCATGAAGCTGGTTGAGAGAATGCCAAACTTGTGCAAAGCTGTCATCAAGGCAAAGGGGTGGCTATTTGAAGAATCTCAAATATAACATATATTTTAATTTGTTTAAAACTTTTTTGGTTACTACATGATTCCATATGTGTTATTTCATAATGTTGATGTCTTCACCATTATTCTACAATGTAAAATGTTTTTAAAATAAAGAAAAACCCTTGAATGAGTAGGTGTGTCCAAACTTTTGACTGGTAGTGTATACGACATGTAATTTCTGAAATGTATTCGAAATCGGTTTCATTTGAAAAGCAATTATAAGCATATGCTAGAAAATATAATTGTGTTTACAAAATGCGGCAAAATTTGGTTCATGAGTAATTGCTGAACACTTAGTATTGATGACAGTCTCTGCAATTCACATGAATAGTAAATGTGGACCTCCTTTATGTGTTAGTGTTTTTGAGAAGGTTATGGTTATTTGCAAAGAGATTTGCACTTATTATTTCACAAGATTATTTCACATTGCACAATACCTCTTTAGACTTATTCTGTAGATCTGCAGCCTCTTTTTGTAATTTCTCCTTTTCTTTCTCAAGGTCAGCTATGGTTTTGCACAAGTCATCAGACTCTTTGAAGCTCTGTAATCTCTGCCCCTCCAGTTTCTCTACAATGACTTTTTCTGAAGCGTGTTGCTCTTTCTCTTGGAGACGAACTCTGATCTCATCAGCTTGTTTCTTGAATTTCATGGCCTCCTCCTCTGCTTTGGACTGAGCATCACTGAGCTGTGTCACCCTGAGCTTCAATTTCTCTGCCTCTGCAGTTGCTTCAAGCTGCCTCTTGCGCTCAGCCTCTAGAGATTTTTGGAAGCCCTCGGTCTCCTCATCAAGACGCTGCTGCATTTGCTGCTTGTCCTCCAGCAGTTTTTGGGCCTGCTCCTGAGCCTTGTCCTTTTGTTTCTGGAGCTTCTCTGCCTCAGCTTTCAGTTTAGTTGCTTCTTGGATAGCTTGCATTTTCTCCTTCAGCATTTTGTCAGCAAGAACCCTCTGTTCGGCAAGCTCGGACTCTGCAATCTGTCTCTCTTGGGCTGCCTCTTGAGCTTCTAAGCTTAGCCTGGCAGCATCCTCTGCTAGCTTCTTCATGTTCTCAGCTTCCTCTTCCAGGAATTTCTGAGCATTATCTTTGTCTTTACTCATCAGACGCTGATTCTCATTCTCAATTCTAAGCTTAAGTTTGACCAGCTCCTCCATCTGGACCTTGACCTTAAATAGCTCATCCTCCACTTGAGCTTTCTGCTTGACAGCATTGCTAACTTCATCCTTCTGGCGCTGAAGCTCCTCATCCAAAACAGATTTCTGCTTATCGGTCTCATCCAGTCGCAGTTTCACCTTTGCTAGCTCCTGCTCAACTTGTGTCTTCTGCTTCAATGTTTGTTGAGCTAGCTTTTTGTGCTTGGCCATCTCTGCGTCTGCCTGCTGCTTCTGTTTCAGAGCAGAAGCCTCAGCTTCTGCTCGCTTTGCAGCCTCCTGCTCTGCTTCCTTCTTCAGTCTCTCAGCATCCCCCTGAGCCTTGGCCTGTTTGGCAGCCTCAGCTTCAGCTGCTTTCTTCTGTTTCTCAGCATCCTCTGCTTTTTGACGGAGTAAAGCAGCCTCCTTCTCAGCTTTCTCCCTGGCCTTCTCAGCTTCTTGTGCAAGTTTCTTAGCCTTGTCAAACTCCTCTTTGAGCTTGCCCTGGGAAAGATTCTCCTCTTTCTGCTTGACCAGAACGTCCCGTGCTCGCTTTTCTGCATTACTACATTTCTGTGCAGCCTCTTTGGCAAGAATAATCTGTTTCTCTGTTTCTTTGTCAGCATTGTCCTTCTGCTTGTTAGCATCAGCAGCAATCTTTTTGAGGCGCTCAACTTCTTTCTGAGCTGCATGGCATTGTCGCGCTGCCTCTTCCTCTGCAGCAGTGATCTTTTTAACTTTCTCTTCAGCTTGCTTCCTTTTGTTCTCCTCCTCTAAAGCAAGCTTTCTGAGTTTCTCTGCTTCTTCTTCAGCCTTGATTCTGTTCCTATTAGTCTCATCTGCAATGCCTTTAAGCTTGTTCAACTCCAACTCAAGATCCAACTTGCCTGTTGATGCCTTCTCAAAGTTTAGTTTTAGGATGCGAATCTCCTCCTCGACCACCCTCCTCTGCTTAAGAGTTTCCTCTACAATCTTCTTCTGCCTCTCCAATTCAGAATCAGAAGTCTTCTTAAGCTGGAAGATCTTTTCATCAATGTCTTGCTTGTGCTGTTTTGCTTGGTCTTCTAAGACCTTTCTCTGATAAGCCTCATCTTCGGCTTTTCTCCTAAGTCTCTCATTCTCTGCCTCTTTATCCTTCAGGGCAATCTCAGCTTCAGTTTTCAGGCCAGTTGCTTCATTAATGGCTGCCAGTTTTTCCTTGAGTATATTCTCAGCCTCTCCTCTTTGCCGAGCCGCCTCATCCTCCGCTGCCTGCCTCTGCTTCTTTGCCTCTTCAGCGATTGATCTCAGCTTAGTCGCCTCTTCAGCTAGTTGCCTCATTTTCAATGCCTCAGACTCAAGGAGATTTCTGCTTTTCTCTGTTGTAGACATGGTCTCCTTCTCAGCTTTCAACTTCATCTGAAGAAGAACTTCCATTTCACTTCTCACTTTGGCCAGTTCATCTTCTAGCTGCTTCCTTTGTTTTACTGCAGCATTCACCTCTTTTTTCAGGCGCTGGAGCTCTTCATCCAATAAAGACCTCTGTTGCTTACCATGGTCAAAGTCAGCCCTTAGGCGAATTAACTCTTGCTCTGCAGAGAGTTTCTGCTGGGCTGTTCCCTCTGCCAATTTCCTCTGTTTATCCAGCTCCTTCTCTGCCATTTCCTTTTGCTTAAGTGCAGCCTTTTCAGCCTTAGCCCTTTTCTTTGCCTCTTGCTCAGCTTCCTCTTTCTGTTTCTCTGCTTCCTCCTGAGCCTGGCTCTTCTTGTGGGCTTCTTCCTCAGCCTGGAGCCTCAAACGGAGTGCCTCATTGGCTTTCTGCCTCCACTTCTCAAGCTCCTTCTCTGCTTCCTCCCTGGCTTTGTTGGCTTCCTCTTGTTGCTTCTTGAGACACTGTGCCTCTTCCTGCAACTGAATAACAGTGCCCTGTTCTTGTTTCAGAGATGCCTCGAGCTTTACAGCCTTCTCGTTAAAGGACATGCGTTTGGTTTGCAGCTCGGTGGCGGCACTCTTCTGTGCCACCTCCTCTGCAACCATAACCTGCCTCTGCTTCTCCTCTTCTGCCTGTTTCATGCGTCTCTCCGCCTCTTCAGCTTGCATCTTGAACTTCTGCAACTCATCCAGGGCCTTCTGCTTTTGCTTGGCAGCTTCTTGTTCTGCCTCTGTTTTGCGTTTCAGCTCCTCCTCTGCATTGCGCTTTTTCTGAGTCTCTTCATTCACCTGCTTGCGAAGCTTCTCTGCCTCCTCCTGAGTAACTTTCCTCAGTCTCTCAGCATTGGCAGCTATGTCCCTGAGCTGCTGAAGTTGGGCCTCAGCTGTGGCCTTCTGCTTTATGGTAGTCTCTAATTGGATTCTGATGATATGGATCTCCTCCTCCATCTTGGTACGACTATACAGTGCCTCCTCAACCTGCTGGCTCTTTGTTTGGATCTCCTGCTCTGACAGGTTCTTGAGTTCGTGCAGCTCCTGCTGTATGTTGTGCTTCTGTTTCTCAGAATCTACTTTCACAACCTCCCTCCTGCTGACCTCTTCTTTCATTTTCAACTTGAGCTCTTGGGCTTCTTGTTCCGCTTTAGTGATAGCTTTGGCGTGTGCCTCAGCTAACTGCCTTTGTTTGTCTAATTCAGCCTGCATCTCAGACAACTTTTTTCTCTCCTCCTTCTTTAGTATTTCAGTAGCTGTCTGTATTAGTGGAAGCAAACAGAAAAGGGGAAAACAATGTATTACAGTGTTAGAATATAAATGTTTGAGTTGTTTGAAGTACTCAAAAAAGTTTTTAAAAAAAGTACATGTAGGTACACATACAGTTGGGTCCAAAATGATTGACAACCTTGATAAACATGAGCAAAAATGACTGAATAAAATAAATAATTAAAAAACTGATAGTTACAGTGCATTCGGAAAGTATTCATACCTGTTGACATTTTCAACATTGTTACGTTACAGCCTTATTCTAAAGTTGATTAAATAAATGAAAAAACTGTAAATCTACACACAATACCCCATAATGACAAAGCGAAAACAGGTTTTTAGAAATGTTTGCGAATCTATTACAAATAAAAAAAACAGAAATACCATATTTACATACATGTTCAGACCCTTTGCTATAAGACTCGAAATTGAGCACAGGTGCATCCTGTTTCCATTGATCATCCTTGAGATGTTTCTACAACTTGATTGGAGTCCACCTGTAGTAAATTCAATTGAATGGACATGATTTGGAAAGGAACACACCTGTCTATATACGGTCCCACAGTTGACAGTGCATGTCAGAACAAAAACCAAGTCATTAGGTCAAAGGAATTGTCCGTAGAGCTCCGAGACAGGATTGTGTCGAGGCACAGATCTGGGGAAGGGTACCAAAACACAGTGGCCATCATTCTTAAATGGAAGAAGTTTGGAACCACCAAGACTCTTCCTAAGGCTGGCCGCCTGGCCAAACTGAGCAAACAGGGGAGAAGGGCCTTGGTCAGGGAGGTGACCAAGAACCCGATAGGCACTCTGACAGAGCTCCAGAGTTCCTCTGTGGAGATGGGAGAACCTTCCAGAAGGACAACCATCTCTGCAGCACTCCCCAATCAGGCCTTTATGGTAGAGTGGACAGATGGAAGCCACTCCTCAGTAAAAGGCACATGACAGCCTGCTTGGAGTTTGACAAAAGGCACCTTGTGATGAGGTGGTGTGGAAGGAGTCAGGCGCAGGAGGGTAAATCACAGAAACAAAGGCTTTAATCCGCAAAAATACAGGTTTACGCAGAAATGCACTGGAAAATACAAGGCACTCGGGAAATCTCCCGTCGACACAAAATAGACGAGCTCCAACGAGCTTCACTAACCTCCACAAATAACAATCACCCACACAGACAAGGAAGCAGAGGGAACACTTATACAATGACTAATGAGGGAATAAGGACCAGGTGTGTGTGATTGAAGACAAATGGAATGATGATAAATGGATCGGCAGTAGCTAGTAAGGCGGTGACGCCGAACGCCGAAACCTGCCCGAACAAGGAGGCAAGGCAGCCTCGGCGGAAGTCATAACACACCTAAATGACTCTTAGACCATGAGAAACAAGATTCTCTGGTGTGATGAAACCAAGATTGAACTCTTTGGCCTGAATGCCAACCTTCACGTTTGGAGGAAACCAGGCACAGCTTATCACCTGGCCAATTTCATCCCTACGGTGAAGCATGGTGGTGACAGCATCATGCTGTGGGGAAGTTTTTCAGTGGCAGGGACTGGGAGACTAGTCAGGATCAAGGGAAAGATGAACAGAGCAAAGTACAGAGAGATCCTTGATGAAAACCTGCTCCAGAGCGCTCAGGACCTCAGACTAGGGAAAAGGTTCACCTTCCAACAGGACAACAACCCTAAGCACACAGCCAAGACAATGCAGGAGTGGCTTCGGGACAAGTCTTTGAATGTCCTTGAGTGGCCCAGCCAGAGCCCGGAATTGAACCCAATCGGACATCTCTGAAGAGACCTAAAAATAGCTGTGCAGCGACGCTCCCCATCCAACCTGACAGAGCTTGAGAGGATCTGCAGAGAAGAATGGGATAAACTCCCCAAATACAGGTGTGCCAAGCTTGTAGCATCATAACCAATAAGACTCAAGGCTGTAATCGCTGCCAAAGGTGCTTCAACAAAGTACTGAGTAAAGGGTCTGAATACTTATGTAAATGTGATATATTTTTATTTGTATACATTCGCAAACATTTCTGAAAACCTGTTTAAACTTTGTCATTATGGGGTATTGTGTGTAAATTGATGAGGAAAACAAACAATTTAATCAATTTTAGAATAAGGCTGTAACTTAACAAAATGTGGAAAAAGTGAAGGGGTCTGAATACTTTCCGAATGCATGCTAGAAAAGTTCCAATGTTTTTGAGCATACAATATAGAAATGTATTTTATACAGTCATTTTTGCTAATCTTTATCATTGTTGTCAATACGGACCCCACTGTAGATGTGAAATAACAAAAAGTTATTTCAAATGAATAAATATGTGTTATCTAGGGAGAGAAATGTTTGTTAATTGCTTCGGGAAAATAACCTAATGTATTTTCACATTTACTTAATGTATGGCACACATAATTCGACTTAACATTGCAACACAACACTATTGGGATCTTGAATGACATAATGCAGTGGGGGTATTTTTCCTTGATGTCTTTTGAAGTAACCATTTCATCTTTCTTTACTAAGATCAAATAAGAATCAAAGAACACTTTTCAATGTACTAACTTGGCTACTACTCTTCAACTTTACCTTGGACTAAGATTGTATTATCTTTTACCTTCTACAAATTCAATCCACCATGTTTTAAAATTGGAAATAAACTTGAAAGGACAGAAGCAGAGAAATAATAATGTGCAAAGACCATGCAAAGTGTATTACCCATAGAGTTGAGTTGATCAGTACTTTTCTATTTTTAGGCAAACTTCTGAGCACCTATACAGCCATGTACAGAAGTTCGTAAAATGTCAAAGCTACTGTATGTAAGCAAGCCAATTCCGATTACTGTCATTTACCCTATGAGACAAAATAAATAAATAAATACGTGCAGAATCTAATCCTACTTTTATGCAAGATATTGTGTAAGATATATTCTTTCAATTATAAGAGGGACATTTTACACTTAGACAAGGTCCAAACATGGGGATGTATATTTGGGAAGTATCGTTGAATGTTCATGTCATGTTGGTTCACTGGTGTGAATGAAACATAGATGCCTAATGATAACAGGGACTTACTGTAGAAGACTAATGATGTAAGTGGAGTGATATGTTGAGAGGGGATTTATTCAAATACCTGGTGCTTTGTGGATTATTCACATTTTAAGTGCCTAAACATGATTAATATTCATCATGACAAAGCACTGGCAAGGTTAGAAAAGAAAGGGGAAAACAAAACTGGTCATTTGATAGGATAATTCTGAAGTGGTCGTTAGTCAGACTGCAGAGTCCTAATCACCATATCAGAGGAAAAGGAGTGTGCAGAAATATTTTGTTTGAAGGGTGAAATAACAAATTAAATTGCAGAAGAAAAAGACTGGGTTTCAATGGGAACCTTATGTTTGCTATAGACTTGAGGGGAAACTGTAGCAAAAGTAACTTGCAAGTGTAATTTAGAGACTGATTATACATCCATGCACCACAGTATATGGGGAATGAGAGACAGATACTGTTGGGAAATGGGAGGTGATGCGGCACCAGCATTTAAATGACTGTATTAATGTAATTAATTTCCTCATAGACCCCAACAGCAAAAAATATGTTGATCCTTTAAAAAAGTCCCAGACTCTTTTAGAAATGCCAACATTCTGAAACCGTTTCATATACAGTGGCTTGCGAAAGTATTCAACCCCCTTAGGATTTTTCCTATTTTGTTGCCTTACAACCTGGAATTAAAATTGATTTTTGGGGGGTTTGTATCATTTGATTTACACAACATGCCTACCACTTTGAAGATGCAAAATATTTTTCCTTGTGAAACAAACAAGAAATAAGACAAAAAAAAAAAAAAAACTTACAGCTGCAGGTCTCTTGGGGTATGTCTCTATAAGTTTGGCACATCTAGCCACTGGGATTTTTGCCCATTCTTCAAGGCAAAACTGCTCCAGCTCCTTCAAGTTGGATGGGTTCCGCTGGTGTACAGCAATCTTTAAGTCATACCACAGATTCTCAACTAGATTGAGGTATGGGCTTTGATTAGTCCATTCCAAGACATTTAAATGTTTCCCCTTAAACCACTTGAGTGTTGCTTTAACAGCATGCTTAGGGTCATTGTCCTGCTGGAAGGTGAACCTCCGACACAGTCTCAAATCTCTGGAAGACTGAAACAGGTTTCCTTCAAGAATTTCCCTGTATTTAGCGCCATCCATCATTCCTTCAATTCTGACCAGTTTCCAGTTCCTGCCGATTAAAAACATCCCCACAGCATGATGCTGCCACCACCATGCTTCACTGTGGGGATGGTGTTCTCGTGGTGATGAGAGGTGTTGGGTTTGCGCCAGACATAGCATTTTCCTTGATGGCCAAAAAGCTCAATTTTATTCTCATCTGACCAGAGTACCTTCTTCCATATGTTTGGGGAGTCTCCCACATGCCTTTTGGCGAACACCAAATGTGTTTGCTTATTTTTTTCTTTAAGCAATGGCTTTTTTCTGGCCACTCTTCTGTAAAGCCCAGCTCTGTGGAGTGTACGGCTTAAAGTGGTCCTATGGACAGATACTCCAATCTCCGCTGTGGAGATTTGCAGCTCCTTCAGGGTTATCTTTAGTCTCTTTGTTGCCTCTCTGATTAATGCCCTCCTTGCCTGGTCCGTGAGTTTTGGTGGGCGGCCCTCTCTTGGCAGGTTTGTTGTGGTGCCATATTCTTTCCTTTTTTTAAATAATGGATTTAAATGGTGCTCTGTGGGATGTTCAAAGTTTCAGATTTTTTTTATTATCCAATCCTGATCTGTACTTCTCCACAACTTTGTCCCTGACCTGTTTGGAGAGCTACTTGGTCTTCATAGTGCCGCTTGCTTGGTGGTGCCGCTTGTTTAGTGATGTTGCAGACTCTGGGGCCATTCAGAACAGGTGTATATATACTGAAATCATGTGACAGATCATGTGACACTTAGATTGCACACAGGTGGATTTTATTTAAATAATTATGTGACTTCTGAAGGTAATTGGTTGCAACAGATCTTATTTAGGGACTTCATAGCAAAGGGGGTGAATACATATGCACGCACCACTTTTCCGTTATTCATTTTTTAGAATGATTTGAAACAAGTTATTTTTTTCATTTCACTTCACCAATTTGGACAATTTTGTGTATGTCCATTACACGAAATCCAAATAAAAATACATTTAAATTACAGGTTGTAATGCAACAAAATAGGAAAAACGCCAAGGGGGATGAATACTTTTGCAAGGCACTGTATACTGACAAGGATATATATGATTTTCCATAAAGAGTGTTTATAGTCAATGTTGTTATAGCCTGGGTATGCAAGTCTGTTTGTGCCATCATACCACTCCTTGACATGCCAAACAAAATGTTTGGCATGGAAAAGTGTTGAAATGATAGCACAAACAGATCTTGGACCAGGATATTGTTGTTATGGTTAGTGGCTGAGCAGGGAGCTGCTGCCTGTCTTCAATGTGTCCCTCAATTACCTCCTCGTCCTCAAGCCGGCGCTGTGTCTCCGTAATAAACTTGATGTACTGGCTGGTCAGAGTCATCAATTCACTGTAGCGGGTTCTCAGAGTCACATACTGAAAGACAATGAATCGGGTTCTCAGAGTCACATACTGAAAGACAATGAATCGTGAATAATGATGAGTGAGAAAGTTACAGACGCACAAATATCATACCCCCAAGACTTGCTAGCCTCTCACCATAACAATAACAGGGGAAGTTAGCATTTTTGGGGTGTATGATATTTATGCCTCTGTAACTTTCTCACTCATCATTATTCACGATTCATTCAGGATTATCCATAATCATGGTAGCATCCACATTAATGTAGAAGTGTTTAGAAACATTATTTTTCTTATTTACAATAAAAGTGACTCCAAAATGACACAATACATTATTTACATCCGAAACACAACCAAAACAAACAGCGAATGCATCCAACAATTTGTAGTGTCACAAGCTTGATGTAATCATTGCGTGCTAGGAATATGGGGCCAAATACTACATTTTGGATTACTTTAATGCACATATAATTTGTCCCAATACCGTTGGTTCCCTAAAATGGGGGGACTATGTACAGAAAGTGCTGTCATTTCTAAACGGTTCACCCGATATGGATGAAAATACCCTAATTTTAAAGCTGTCAGTCTGCACCTGTATCTCATAGTCATTGTATAATTTCTAAAAATGTATCACTGTACCAATACTTTTGGAGCTCACTGTAATTGTAAACAACTTTAAAGCTACTGCAGCTGTAAAATAGTATTAAATACATTCCCCATCATGTCTATATGACCTACCTCTTGGATGATATTGTCAGATGCACACTCCATTTTGGTTTTCTTTAAGGGCGAAGCCAGGGGCTCAATCAGAGCTTTGTACGTCACTACCTGAAGCTCATAGTCCTGGGGAAAACACATGGACATAATATAAAATATTATCAATGCAATAAATCTCCATATGCATCATCTTGTTTTAAGTGACATTCGATCTGCATACGCACCTTGACCGCATCAATATATGCCCTTGCATGTTTTTGACACTCCTCAACCTTGTCTTTGTTCTTCTCGATCTCTTCTAGGAGTTTCTGCAATGATAAAAGATTGTAACACTGACAAAACTGTAACATTACACTCCATCATCAAGCTAAGAAGCTTCATCTCCTCTATTTGTAATGGAAGCCTCCTGATACCTAGTCCTGGGTGCCTCACATCGGTGGTGGATTAGGTGTTTTCCCTGTTACTATGTCAAATGCTTTGAGCACCTAGGTAGAAAAGCACTATATACAGTGGGGAAAAAATGTATTTAGTCAGCCACCAATTGTGCAAGTTCTCCCACTTAAAAAGATGAGAGAGGCCTGTAATTTTCATCATAGGTACACGTCAACTATGACAGACAAAATGAGGGAAAAAATTCCAGATTTTTAATGAATTTATTTGCAAATTATGGTGGAAAATAAGTATTTGGTCAATAACAAAAGTTTCTCAATACTTTGTTATATACCCTTTGTTGGCAATGACACAGGTCAAACGTTTTCTGTAAGTCTTCACAAGGTTTTCACACACTGTTGCTGGTATTTTGGCCCATTCCTCCATGCAGATCTCCTCTAGAGCAGTGATGTTTTGGGGCTGTCGCTGGGCAACACGGACTTTCAACTCCCTCCAAAGATTTTCTATGGGGTTGAGATCTGGAGACTGGCTAGGCCACTCCAGGACCTTGAAATGCTTCTTACGAAGCCACTCCTTCCTTGCCCGGGCGCTGTGTTTGGGATCATTGTCATGCTGAAAGACCCAGCCACGTTTCATCTTCAATGCCCTTGCTGATGGAAGGAGGTTTTCACTCAAAATCTCACGATACATGGCCCCATTCATTCTTTCCTTTACACGGATCAGTCGTCCTGGTCCCTTTGCAGAAAAACAGCCCCAAAGCATGATGTTTCCACCTCCATGCTTCACAGTAGGTATGGTGTTCTTTGGATGCAACTCAGCATTCTTTGTCCTCCAAACACGACGAGTTGAGTTTTTACCAAAAAGTTATATTTTGGTTTCAATCCTCTTCTGGATCATCCAAATGCACTCTAGCAAACTTCAGACGGGCCTGGACATGTACTGGCTTAAGCAGGGGGACACGTCTTGCACTGCAGGATTTGAGTCCCTGGCGGCGTAGTGTGTTACTGATGGTAGGCTTTGTTACTTTGGTCCCAGCTCTCTGCAGGTCATTCACTAGGTCCCCCCGTGTGGTTCTGGGATTTTTGCTCACCGTTCTTGTGATCATTTTGACCCCACGGGGTGAGATCTTGCATGGAGCCCCAGATCGAGGGAGATTATCAGTGGTCTTGTATGTCTTCCATTTCCTAATAATTGCTCCCACAGTTGATTTCTTCAAACCAAGCTGCTTACCTATTGCAGATTCAGTCTTCCCAGCCTGGTGCAGGTCTACAATTTTGTTTCTGGTGTCCTTTGACAACTCTTTGGTCTTGGCCATAGTGGAGTTTGGAGTGTGACTGTTTGAGGTTGTGGACAGGTGTCTTTTATACTGATAACAAGTTCAAACAGGTGCCATTAATACAGGTAACGAGTGGAGGACAGAGGAGCCTCTTAAAGAAGAAGTTACAGGTCTGTGAGAGCCAGAAATCTTGCTTGTTTGTAGGTGACCAAATACTTATTTTCCACCATAATTTGCAAATAAATTCATTAAAAATCCTACAATGTGATTTTCTGGATTTTTTTCTTCTCAATTTGTCTGTCATAGTTGACGTGTACCTATGATGAAAATTACAGACCTCTCTCATCTTTTTAAGTGGGAGAACTTGCACAATTGGTGGCTGACTAAATACTTTTTTCCCCCACTGTAAATCCATTCAATTATTCTTATTATTAGTTGTATAGTACCTTCTCTTGTGCCAATTGCTGCTTGAGGGCCTTAATGTCACCGATGGGCACGGCCTGGATTTTCTCCTGCCTCTGCTTGGCATCACTGAGCCATCTGATGAGCCAGTCATAGCTCTCGCGGTAGGAGCTCATCTGCCTCCCCACCAAGTCCAGCTCGCATTGGCGCAGGTCTATCTGGGCGAACGCGGCCTGCCAGCGCTCCTCCAGCACGGCCACTACTTGCCGGTAGTGCTCCAGCTCGGCGTCGTGCTCGCTGTGTACCTGCGTCATCCGCTCGTTTATGGCCATCGCCTTCTGCAGTTCCTCCTGGAGAGTGTCGAACGTCTTCTGGTCATCCTCGGCCTCGCCACGCATTCTCTACCAGAGAGAGAGAGAGGGAGAGAAAGAGAGAGAGAGAAAAAGAGAGAGGGAGAGCAAGCGAGAGCGAGTGATAGAGAGTTAGAGAAAAAGAGCAAGAGGGAGAGTAGAAAGAGAGAAAGAGAGATATAGAGAGAGAGGGAGAGAGAGAGCAAGAAACATCGCTACAAATGCATAGAAATCATTAAGTCACTGTCTGATAACCAGTCCATATGAAAGCATTGTCTACCCACCAACGGATAGAATACAGTGAATTCTAACAGAGATACTGTACCTTTAGCTGGGTGCAGTAGTTCTCCACCTCTTTTTCGTCTGTTGGCATCTTGTTGACATCACGTAAACGGGCTTCGTACTTTTTGAGAGTGTCCTCTGCTCCCTTTGTGCTGCGGATGACTATGTCGATGGTCTTCAGTCTAAACAAGGAGTGGTGTATAGTGTTAGCTGTGTGTGTATTATGATTCAGATATACTATTTAGATTGAAGATGTTACTTATTGGTCGTATGGTTTTGATATGCATGTCGTAACAATCAGAGTCAGCGAGGGACTCACTTGTCCAGGTACACGGAGGACAGGCTGTAGATGTGCTCCATCTTCTTCAGCGTAATGTCCAGCTCAGAGCACAGTACTGGGGCAGAGCTGGACTGCTGAGGGGATGTCAGCACCTCCTCTGTCTTCTCAGCCACAACGGTCAGGTCTTTCTTCAAGCCCTCCAACTCTGACTGGACTTTCTATGAGGAGAAAAGGGAATAATGAACCATAACTAGACATTCCACCTGCAGTCTTTTTTTCATGGAGTTGCTAACAAGCCAACCAGCAGCATACCGTGAAGTGAAATAGGAATACAAAGGTCTTCTGAAACTTCTTACGATGAGAAACGAGCAGACGGAACATACTAAACAGCATGTCTGATCTAAAAACGTTAGTTTGCCCTTCTACTGTCTAACTCAATTTACTTGACACAAGGGAACTTTAAATAGTTTCCTAAACAATAACCCCTTGCTGAATGTGGCCCGGCTCTGTTTCAAATAAGCATGTTATCTATTTTGGGCTGACAATTCATTACAGATCTACCATTAACTTCAGTCTGTTTATTTTGGGATTGGATGTGTGATTTACGGTAACCATTGCAGTGGCCTGGTGACCCCTGAGTCTAAATTACATACAGTTGTGAAAAAGTAAGTAAGTACACCCCCTGGAAAGTGGTATTTTGTCACGATCGTCTTATGGAGTAGACCAAGGCGCAGCGTGATGAACGAACATATTTAATCTTTATTATCTTCAGTGATAATAAGAACAACAAAACGAAACGTGCAGTCCTACGGTTTAACATAACCAACAAGGAACAAACCAAACAGAAACAAGATCCCACAAACACGAATGGAAAACAGACTGTTTAAATATGGTTCCCAATCAGAGACAACCAGCCACAGCTGACACTCGTTGCCTCTGATTGACAACCACACTGGCCAACATAGAAATACAATACTAGAACACGACATAGAAACACAAACACATAGAAACTACACACCCTGGCTCAAAATATAGAGTCCCCAGAGCCAGGGTGTGACAGTACCCCCCCCCCCAAAGGCGCGGACTGCGACCGCGCCTCAACAAAACCCAAACAGGGGAGGGCTGGGTGGGCATTCCTCCTCGGAGGCGGTTCCGGCTCCGGGCTTGACCACCACCCTTCAATAATCCCCCCGTAGCGCCCCTGGTCCGGTCTGGCCCCGCTGGCTGGAGCTGGACTGGACATCGATGGAGCGGATTGCTTAAGCTCCGTTGTGGAGCCGCTGACCGGTACCTGATCAGGCACCGGTGACCCAGGCACGGGTTGTGCCGGACTGACGACGCGCACCCCTGGCTTGGTGCGTGGAGCAGGAACGGACCGGACCGGGCTGACGATGCGCACCCCTGGCTTGGTGCGTGGAGCAGCAACGGGCCGGACCGGGCTGACGATACGCACCCCTGGCTTGGTGCGTGGAGCAGGAACGGACCGGACCGGGCTGACGATGCGCACCCCTGGCTTGGTGCGTGGAGCAGCAACGGGCCGGACCGGGCTGACGATACGCACCCCTGGCTTGGTGCGTGGAGCAGGAACGGGCCTTACCAGGCTGACGACTCGCACCCCTGGCTTGGTGCGAGTGGCAGGAACAGGCCGGGCCAGGCTGGCGACGCGCACCGTAGGCTTGGTGCGAGTAGCAGGAACAGGCCGGGCCGGGCTGGCGACGCGCACCGTAGGCTTGGTGCGAGTAGCAGGAACAGGCCGGGCCGGGCTGGAGATGCGCACCGTAGGCTTGGTGCGAGTGGCAGGAACAGGCCGGGCCGGGCTGGAGACGCGCACCGTAGGCTTGGTGCGAGTGGCAGGAACAGGCCGGGCCGGGCTGGCGATGCGCACCGTAGGCTTGGTGCGAGGGGCAGGAACAGGCCGGGCTGGGCTGGCGATGCGCACCGTAGGCTTGGTGCGAGGGGCAGGAACAGGCCGGGCTGGGCTGGCGATGCGCACCGGAGGCTTGGTGCGAGGAGCAGGAACAGGCCGGGCTGTGGAGACGGATAGGAGACCTGGAGTGAAGAGCTGCCACAACCCGTCCTGGCTGAATGCCTACCTTCACACACTCTGTGTGAGGCATCCGCACAGGACGTACAGGGCTGTGTACCCGTACTGGCATAACAGCACGTGACACTGGCGCAGGATATCCGGGACTGAGGAGAGGCACTGGAGACCACGAGCGCTGAGCCGGCACACTCCGTCCTGGCTGCATGCCCACCTTCGCACGACACGTGCTGGGTGCTCGCACAGGACGTACCGGACTATGCCGGACCACTCGTGGCACAGTACGCAACTCCGCATACCGCGGAACCTGCCCAGTCCCATGCTGCCATGCCTGAGTACGGGGAGTTGGCTCTGCTCTCCATCCAGGCTCCGCCAACCTGCCTTCTGGCCCCCCAAACCCGGTGGCCTCCTCTCCAAATCTCCCAAATCGCCCTGTGGCAGCCTCCTGCTGCCCAGCCGCCCATGCCGTGTGCCCCCCCCCTAAAAATTTTTTGGCACTGTTGACGCCGTTGCTCCTCTCTCGCCAGGGCCTTAATCCTAGCCCATGGCCCTTTTCCCCCCGAGCATGTCCTCCCAGGACCATACTTTGCCCACCTGGGCCATCGCCAACCTCTCCAGCTCCTTTCCCGGCGCTTCCTCCCATATCCAGTCTGCCTGCTCCTGGACACGCTGCTTGGTCCTGGAGTGGTGGGATCTTCTGTCACGATCGTCGTATGGAGTAGACCAAGGCGCAGCGTGATGAACGAACATATTTAATCTTTATTATCTTCAGTGATAATAAGAACAACAAAACAACAAAACGAAACGTGCAGTCCTACGGTTTAACATAACCAACAAGGAACAAACCAAACGGAAACAAGATCCCACAAAAACGAATGGAAAACAGACTGTTTAAATATGGTTCCCAATCAGAGACAACCAGCCACAGCTGACACTCGTTGCCTCTGATTGAGAACCACACTGGCCAACATAGAAATACAATACTAGAACACGACATAGAAACACAAACACATAGAAACTACACACCCTGGCTCAAAATATAGAGTCCCCAGAGCCAGGGTGTGACATATTTTTTATTTTTTTATTTTACATATTTGGACACATGGATATTTGAGCGAAATTCCAAGCACATTCATTGATAAAAGTAACCCAATTTAACAAATCACACAAAACATGTTTTTACTTTGAAAATGTTATGCAAATAAAATAAACAAAAATGCAATTTCCTTACGCAAACAATGTTAGTACACCCCTACCTTTACCATTACATAAAATGGCAAACATTTGAATCAGGTGCACCAAAACAGGTGCAAATGATTAGAAAATCATTAGAGAGTAACTTGCGAGGATCCAGCCTTCCATAAAGATTAGAAACTTGGTCTGGTTAGGTCTTAACCATATGGGTGTGTGGTAACACATCATGCCAAGATCAAAATACCTTCCTGAGGCCCTCAGAAGAAAGATTATTGATGCCCATGAGTCTGGGAGGGGTTACAAATCAATTTCCAAGCAATTCGAAGTACATAATTCCACTGTCCTACGGATCATCTATAAATGGAGAAAATTCCAGACCACTGGCAATCTACCTAGGACAGGCAGTCCCACTAAATTCAGCCCAAGAGCTGACCGAAAGATGCTCATATAAGTTTCTAAGAACCACAGGGTAACATCAAGGGATTTACAGGCCCTCTTGCCACAATCTATGTCAAAGTGCATGAGTCAACTGTCAGAAAGAGACTGCACAAACTTGGCCTACATGGGAGGTCAGGAAGGAAGTAGCCTCTGCTCTCATTGAATAATATCAAGATATGACTGACGTTTGCCAGACAACACCTGGGTAAAGACCAAAACTACTGGAACAATGTGCTCTGGACAGATGAGTCAAAGGTGGAGTTGTTTGGCCGCAATGCCAGATGCCATGTTTGGCGAACACGAAACACTGCCTTTGAACAGAAGAACCTCATACTAACTGTAAAGCATGGAGGCGGTGGTATTATGGTTTGGGGCTGCTTTGCTGCCTCAGGGACAACTTGCCATCATTGAGTCAACCATGAATTCCATATTGTACCAGAGAATTCTTGAGGAGAACGTGAGGCCATCTGTCAAAAAGCTGAAGCTGAACCGAAGATGGCTCTTGCAACAGGACAATGATCCAAAACACACAAGCAAAGCTACAACAGAATGGCTCAAAAAGAAGAAATGGAGGGTTATGGAATGGCCGAGTCAAAGCCCAGATCTCAATCCTGTCGAAATGCTGTGGGGGGACTTGAATGCAAGAAGGCCCTCGAACATGACACAGTTGAAGCAGTACTGTAAAGAAGATTGGGCAAAAATTCCTCCCAGTCAATGTAAGAGACTGATAGACAGCTACATTAAGTTATTTCAGCCAAAGGGGGCAACACCAGCTATTGGAGATTTTTTCCGCACTATGGAATTGCATTTCTGTTGATTTCTGATGAATAAATGATTGCAAAGTACAATATTTCAGTGTAATTTGTTAAATTAAGTCACCTTTATCTGTCAATAGTGTTGAAGTGAAGATTACATATCCATCTGTCCAAATATGTACAAAAAAAAGAGACAACTTTCCAGGGGGTGTACTTACTCTTTCAGTAGATACTGATTTGTTTGAGTCTTGGTTGAGAAACAGCCAAACCAGCAAATGTCTCTTCCTCCATTGCCGTTAGACCCATAGTGAAATGCCCTAAAACTCATAATGTCAAAGTGGAATTTTGTTTGTATTACATTTTTGAAATGAATACCATTTTTTAAGCTGAAATGTCTTGAGTCAATAAGTATTCAACCCCTTTGTAATTGGCAAGCCTAAATAAGTTCAGGAGTTAAATTTGCTTAACAAATTGCATAATAAATTGCATGGACTCATTCTGAGTTCAATAATAGTGGTTAACATGATTTTTGAAGTACTACCCCATCTCTGTACCCCACACATACAATTATCTGTAATGTCTCTCAATCGAGTAGTGACTTTCAAGCACAGATTCGACCACAAAGACGAACAAGGTTTTTCAATGCCTCGCAAAGAAGGGCACTGATTGGTAGATGTGTAAAAAAACTAAACAAACACAGACGCTGAATATCCCTTTGAGCATGGTGAAGTTATTAATTACACTTTGGATGGCGTATCAGCACACCCAGTCACTACAAAGATACAGGTGTCCTTCCTAACTCAGTTGCCGGAGAGGAAACTGTTCAGGGATTTCACCATGAGGCCAATGGTGATTTTAAAACAGTTACAGAATGTAATGGTTGTGATATCAGAAAACTGAGGATGGATCAACATTGTATTTACTCCACAATACTAACATAATTGACAAGAGTGAAAAGAAAGAAGCTTGTCCAGAATATATGCATATATGCATCCTGTTTGCAACAAGGCACTTTAGTAATACTGCAAAAAATGTGGCAAAGAAATGAACTTTTTGTCCTGAATATAAAGTGCTATGTTTGAGGCAAATCCAACACAACACATCACTGAGCACCACTCTTCATATTTTCAAGCATGGTGGTGGCTGCATTATGTTATGGGTATGCTTGTCATCAGCCAGGACTAGGGAGTTTTTTAGGATAAAAAGAAACAGAATACAGCTATAAACACAGGCAAAATCCTAGAGGAAAACCTGATTCAGTCTGGTTTCCAACAGACAAATTCACTTTTCAGCAGGATAATATCCTAAAACACAAGGCCAAATCTACACTGGAATTGCTTACCAAGACGACATTGAATGTCCCTGAGTGGCCTAGTTACAGTTTTGACTTAAATCGGCTTGAAAATCTATGGCAAGACTTGAAAATGGTTGTCTAGCAATGATCAACAACTAATGTGCAAATATTGTACAATCCAGGTGTGCAAAGCTCTTAGAGACTTACGCAAAAAGACTCACAGCTGTAATCACCGCCAAAGGTGCTTCTACAAAGTATTGACTCAGGGGTGTGAATACTTACGTAAATGAGATATTTATATATTTCATTTTCAAGAAATTTGCAAAAATGTATGAAAACATGTTTTCACCTTGTCAATATGGGGTATTGTGTAGATGTGTGAGAAAAACATATATTTAATCTATTTTGAATTCAGACTGTAACACAACAAAATGTGGAATAAGTCAAGGGATATGAACACTTTCTGAAGGAACTGTATTTTGTGTTTTGTGTCGACCCCAGGAAGACTAGCTGCTGTATGTGCAACAGCTAATGGAGATCCTAATAAACAAAACAAAACAATGTCACAGAGGGGTGACGTCACTGCAGTACCTTCTGCTCAGTGGTCCTCTGGGTGCAAGCCATGAGCGGGTTCTTGTCCACGGGCTGTCGGAGACGTGTGACGATGCGAGTCTCACAGCCCTCCAGCTTCAGACGCAGGTCCTTGACCTTGGTCAGGTAGCTCCGGCACTCAGATTCTTCTTCCTCACCTGAACAGAATGTATAAGAAGATGAATTTACAGCTCAGAATCCCAGATCATAAAATAGTGCTCTTTCGCTGATTAATATTGAATGATACAAAGAGCATATATTGGCTTACAATTATCTGCTTACATGGACTGCATCACAAATGGCACCCTATTCCTTATATAGGGCACTACTTTGGACCAGGGTTCATAGGGCTCTGGTCAAAAGTAGTGCACTATGTAGGGAACAGAGTGCCATTTGAGATGCAACCACGGTAATGGTACAATAGCACAAAGTCAGATTTTGATCTTGGTTATTTCGATCATGAATTAATTATTTATGCCCACACAATTATTGTTATTTTCTCAGTATATAACGAACTATACACTGAGTGTGTAAAACATTAAGGACACCTGCTCTTTCCATGACATAGACCAGATGTCACCAACCTTTTCTGAGTCAAGATCACTTTCGGGAGTCAAAATGCAAGCCAAGATCTACACTGAGTGTGTCAGTTAACCACTATTTGTAGACAAATGGCTGTGATGAATTTCAACATTTCCAACAACAAATATTGAAATCATGATGCTCATGAACGGAAAATGCAACGACAACTCATAAGGTGTGCAACAAAGTGTGCAACAAAGTGTGCAACAAAGTGTGCATAACGAAGTGCATCAAAAATAACTTTGGACGCTTCTTTTCGTACTATACAGGCCCTCTCCCTGCCCGGATGTCTGACACTCACCTTTCTCCACAGAGTGCAGCAGTCCTTCGTAGTGCTGGCTGGCCTTTTTGTAGCCACTCTCCACCTGCATGCGGTCATCTGCCCCAAAGAGCTGGGAGTCCTGGCTGTCTCTTAGAAAGTCTTGGTAGTGGAGCTCCAGGTTCCTCAAAGCTAGCCTGTACTCCTCCACCCTCAGGGTCTTAAACTGTAGTGATGGGGAAGAATGATAGGGAGGGGTGAGCGTGGTTTGGAAGAGTGTTATATTCTCTTTGCCTGAATTCCATCCGGAAATCCGCCCCATTCCAGGACCTTTGGAATTGTATAGCTATTCAATTCTACAACCAAGAGACACCATCTAATGACTAAAAACATGTCCTTTATTCACTGATCTACTATCTCCAAAAAGGTCTGTTTGTATGTCTCAAATGGCACCCTAATCCCTATGTAGTGCACTACCTTTGACCAGGGCCCGTAGTGCTCTACATAGAGAATAGGGTGCCATTTGAGACACACGATGTGTGAAACTATGAGCTCACCGTGGTGATGTTCCATAAGCTGATGAGGTGGATGTCTCTCATCAGGTACTGCCAGGACATGAGGCTCTTCATGTCCACGTGCAGCATCTGCCACAGGACCAGCAGGTTCTGGTGACTTGCGTCCAGACTGTGGGGGAGATTTGAGGTTAGTGAACCATACAGGTGCTGGGGTCAAACGTCTTAACGAGGCATCAAAGGTCTGACAAAGGTTAAATCAAAGGGCTGAATCAGAAGTTTTATCCATGTTATTTTAGCCTGGTAGCCAGTCTGTATCTGCTCTCTTGCCAACTCCTTAAGGAATTGTCATGCCAAACAACAATGGAGTGGGCAAGAGCCCAAACAGATCTGGGACCAGGCTAATGTAGTTAATGGTAAGGCTAAATCAAAGGTTTTGGCCATTTTGTTTCATGGTAAGGCTAAATCAAAGGTTTTATGCATGTTGTTTATGGTAAGGCTAAATCAAAGGTTTTAGCCATATTGTTTTAAGGCCAGGAGATGATTGCTTGCCTCACCCTGAGACGCAGCTCACTGCGACCTTATTGGTGGGTGGAACCAGGAAACAGATGGAAGGCACAGTGGCCTCGCTGCCTTTGGGGTTCTGCACTTTCCACTTGTATGGCTGAGAGTTGTCTATCAGTGCACACTCATCCCCTCTGTGGACTGTGATCTGGAAAGAGGCACAAAATGATCACCCATGTTGTACTATATCTGACAAGTTCTAATGACAGGCCTTCGAGCATGACTAATAAGATAAATAGAGAAATAAAATCAACAGATCTACTTTTAAGTGTCACTAATCTATGTTTTGAATAAACACTAAATTTCCACAGATTCTGATCGCATGCGCTTATACTAAGTAGTAGCCTAAGAGTGTTTGCTCCTCCACTGGAAAGCTGGTCACATGAACATTAATATCTTCTCACCTCCATCTGTTTGAAGTCGCAGACGGCCTGGACAGGCACTTTGCCCTTGACTGGTGTAGCAGGGTTACGTGGCTTCAGCTGGACAATGGTCTTGGCCCTCCGGTTCAGACCATTCAAGTGGGTCTTAAACTCTTTCAGTTGCTCCTTCTCATCCTAAATATGAACCACCACAGGGTTATTTAACAAAACAGACAATGACAGGTGCTGTTGCTTTAGTAATGTCACTGAAGCAGAGTTGCTGAATTTTCTCTTCACTTCTTCAAGAAACTAGAATAAGTCAACCTACAACTGCGTCCTGTAACAAGTCCTCGAGTCGTGTGACAGTGACGTTACGGTCGCACGTGTATTTCTTCTTCATTGTCTCCTGCATCTTGTTCATCTTCTCCTCTGCCTCTTTCACGTCAGAGAAAAACTACAAGGGTAGAAAAAGAGGAGCGCAAACCGTTTTAGAGATAGGACAATGTATTTTAAGAAGCGTTTTTTATGTTCATTGGACATACTTGGAAGTAGGAGGTGTTCTCTTTCAGGTGGGACTCAATGCAACAGCAAAGCTGCAGGATCCAGCTCCACTGGGTCTGCAAGGCTGCAGTGAAGGCCTTTGGTGGGGAGAGAGAGAAATGGGTGTGAGACACAACCATTGGCCTTTTTAAAAAATAGCTTTAAAAAAACAGCTATTCTCATATCCTTTGCTCTTAGACATAAAATACAAAGTAAAAGACAAATCCATGTTAAATATATACTGTAATGCAGGGGTAGGCAACTAGATTTAGCAGCGGGATGATTTTTGTGCGAGCGGATAGTTAGGGGGCACGGAACATAATGATACAATTTGAACACTGCAAATTCACCACAAGTAAGCCCAAAAAGAGATTGTATTTGAAAATAACATGATTATTTCATACCTTGATTACATTGAGACACAATCACGAATCTTTATTTTTATTCATGGGAACATCTTTTCTAAATTATAATTTTTTAAGCTGAATTCCTGGTGATTTTAGTCTTTTTTGACCAAAAATTAAAATCCTAAAAACTTTACGGTGCCAAATTAAATCACTTGCGGGACAGTTTTGGCCTATGGGCCGCCTGTTACCGACCCCTGCTGTAATGTGTGTGTTCGTATACTATTCAGGAAATTACAACAACTTATAAACTCTAGTGATTGTGTTCTCACCTCTACAGTCTTCTTGGCAGGGTGTCCCTCCTTCAACAGTTTCTCTCCTTGGACCTGGACACTGTTGACCCTCTTCTCCCTGTGCTCCAGCTCTTTCATCAACCACTGAAACAAACCAAAGAAAACAGTCAGTGTTATGGCATTAAGGGGGATATTACTAGATATGCAAGTGCATCCCTAATCATAATAAATTACATTTCATTGTCAAGATAATAATTAAATGTAATCTGATCAAAAGCTAATTAAAGATGGGAGTACTACTGTTCTGTACAGTGCAGTACCTTTTACTTTTACCCTACAAGATCCGTATTATGCCTAACTCTATTTAGCTAATGTTGAACTTTCCAGGTTGGGTGAGGATGAGAACAGCCATACCGAGTAGTTGTCTTTCTTGGCATTCATGTTGGTGTTGCGTTCGCTCCAGTCATAGTTAACCTCCTCCTCCTCCTTCTCATTCAGCCACATCAACTCCTTGGTGGCTGCAGTGACAAAGGCATGAAGCCCGTCCAGGCTGCACAGGCGAGCTTTGGAAGAACTCTGAGGAGAAAAGAATAACAATGAGATTGGAGATTGGAGAAGACGCATTAGATAAATAGCAGATTGTTGAAAAGTTGCAGTTGTACATTCATATTTTGAGTACAGAACTTACCAGAAGCTTGCCATAATGCAACTCCAGCTTGGATAAGTAGTCTATGTAGGCACCTTTGCTGATAGGGGAGAGCTGACTCTGAAGGGGAATAGAAAAGGACACAAAAGATTAGAGAAGAAGCATGGCTAAAAAAAGAAGCAGTCAGACTACATTTTGCCATTAACCATAAGAGGATCAATGATGGTATGACTGAATCAGTCTAACTTTCCCCAGTTTTTCCCACTGTACCTCGTCTGCTTTTGCCCTGTTGATCTTAGCATGGAACTCCTCCACTGACTGGTGCAGGCCGCGGTGACAGCCCAGTTGGGACTCCACGGTGGGCAGGTCCGAGCCCCATTCCCCCTGGTCCACCCACCTCTGGTTCTCCTCCACCCAAGCCAGCAGGTCCTGGATGTAGCGCAGGGTCACCTCATCACGCTCGGGACACACCCTCATGGGTACCTGCTGAAAGGTCTGCATCTGGGACATGGGTATCTGGGTGGTAGTCACTCCGGACTTCAGGCTCAGGTTGTACTCACTGCGCTGGTTCACCAGCCGCTCGTGGAGACGGTACACTCTGGAGGTTAAACAGGAGGAACAATGACGAATCGCTCAATGACAACAAAACAGGTATTTCAATCAATTGGATTTACAGTGGGGAAAAAAAGTAATTAGTCAGCCACCAATTGTGCAAGTTCTCCCACTTAAAAAGATGAGAGAGGCCTGTAATTTTCATCATAGGTACACGTCAACTATGACAGACAAAATGAGGAAAACAAATCCAGAAAATCACATTGTAGGATTTTTAATGAATTTATTTGCAAATTATGGTGGAAAATAAGTATTTGGTCAATAACCAAAGTTTCTCAATACTTTGTTATATACCCTGTGTTGGCAATGACACAGGTCAAACGTTTTCTGTAAGTCTTCACAAGGTTTTCACACACTGTTGCTGGTATTTTGGCCCATTCCTCCATGCAGATCTCCTCTAGAGCAGTGATGTTTTGGGGCTGTCGCTGGGCAACACGGACTTTCAACTCCCTCCAAAGATTTTCTATGGGGTTGAGATCTGGAGACTGGCTAGGCCACTCCAGGACCTTGAAATGCTTCTTACGAAGCCACTCCTTCGTTGCCCGGGCGGTGTGTTTGGGATCATTGTCATGCTGAAAGACCCAGCCACGTTTCATCTTCAATGCCCTTGCTGATGGAAGGAGGTTTTCACTCAAAATCTCACTATACATGGCCCCATTCATTCTTTCCTTTACACGGATCAGTTGTCCTGGTCCCTTTGCAGAAAAACAGCCCCAAAGCATGATGTTTCCACCTCCATGCTTCACAGTAGGTATGGTGTTCTTTGGATGCAAATCAGCATTCTTTGTCCTCCAAACACGACGAGTTGAGTTTTTACCAAAAAGTTCTATTTTGGTTTCATCTGACCATATGACATTCTCCCAATCCTCTTCTGGATCATCCAAATGCACTCTAGCAAACTTCAGACGGGCCTGGACATGTACTGGCTTAAGCAGGGGGACACGTCTGGTACTGCAGGATTTGAGTCCCTGGCGGCTTAGTGTGTTACTGATGGTAGGCTTTGTTACTTTGGTCCCAGCTCTCTGCAGGTCATTCACTAGGTCCCCCCGTGTGGTTCTGGGATTTTTGCTCACCGTTCTTGTGATCATTTTGACCCCACGGGGTGAGATCTTGCGTGGAGCCCCAGATCGAGGGAGATTATCAGTGGTCTTGTATGTCTTCCATTTCCTAATAATTGCTCCCACAGTTGATTTCTTCAAACCAAGCTGCTTACCTATTGCATATTCAGTCTTCCCAGCCTGGTGCAGGTCTACAATTTTGTTTCTGGTGTCCTTTGACAGCTCTTTGGTCTTGGCCATAGTGGAGTTTGGAGTGTGACTGTTTGAGGTTGTGGACAGGTGTCTTTTATACTGATAACAAGTTCAAACAGGTGCCATTAATACAGGTAACGAGTGGAGGACAGAGGAGCCTCTTAAAGAAGAAGTTACAGGTCTGTGAGAGCCAGAAATCTTGCTTGTTTGTAGGTGACCAAATACTTATTTTCCACCATAATTTGCAAATAAATTCATAAAAAATCCTACAACGTGATTTTCGGGATTTTTTTCTTCTCAATTTGTCTGTCATAGTTGACGTGTACCTATGATGAAAATTACAGGCCTCTCTCATCTTTTTAAGTGGGAGAAATTGCACAATTGGTGGCTGACTAAATTTTTTTTCCCCACTGTACATACACATTACCAACACACACACTTTTACAGTTATGAGTTGCTGCTGCTATTATTATTATTATCTATTCTGATGCCTAGTCACTTTACCCTGCCTTCATGTACATATCTACCTCAAATACCTCGTACCTCTGCACATTGATCTGGTACTGGTACTTCCTGTATATATCCCTGTCTTTTATTTTATTCCACTTGTGTTACTATTTTATTTATTTTTTAAACTCTGCATCGTTGGGAAGGGCTCGTAAGCAAGCATTTCACGGTAAAGTCTACACCAGTTGTATTCGGCGGATGTGATTTTATTTTGACGTGGCGCTAAAATGGTTTTACTCAGTGGTTGTTCTGACCTGCGGTACATCTGTTCAGCTTGTAGATGGCGTCCGTCCTTCAGCAGCTGCACGTCGTTGAAGAGGTACCGGATCATGTCCTCAGCCTTGTCCAGGTCTGTCTCTACCTCTGCTGTGTGCATAGCAGGCTTTCCTGAGCTCAGCAAACGGACATCCTAGAACATAGATACAGTATAAACTCTATAACACCATGTGTTCCATCTTGAATATAGCATTAGTCCATGAGCCTGAGAATGCTTTTGAACATCTGAACACATCCAATCTCACATAACTGTGGGGTATTCATTCACTGTATCATTAACTAGACTCAGTCTAGCATGGGTTTGTGGTGACAAATCTGTAGGGCCACAGATTGTACATTAAACAGTCTATATTGGCTAGTGACTGTCTGCCCCGGCAGGGTGTGAGACTCACCATCTGTAGCAAGCCCTCAACCTGGTTGAGCTGCTCCTCACACACCCCAGACTCCATCTGGACCTTACTGACAATCCTCTGCAGCCGCTCCAGCCTGAGGTTCAAAGGTCAAACACATCAGTTGAGACATGTTCTCCAGTCTCTCATAAATCAGCTCTGAGGCTGGGGTATCGTCTAATGAGGTAACTAAATAACTTAATGATGGTACTGTAAATCATGACTGGCAATACTTTACTCAAAGACAACACGGGCCCTTTGCGCAGATTTTGTGAAATAAGCATTTTGACCTCAATGGGACAACCTGGTTAAATAAAGATGAAATAAATAATAATGTTGGTCTAAATTTAAATCCAATGGACATGCATTTCAATACATTTCAAGAGCATCAATACAAATATCTGGAGAAAAAAAAACATTCTACAAATTAGAGCAAACATTCCACAATCTTCTCAGAAACATTATGCAGGCAGGGTAAAACACTCACTCCTTCTTCTCCTTCTTCTTGCGAAGTAAATACTCTAAACCGTAGATCTGACTGGCAAAGGCCATGATGGATTCTCTGACAGCTAGTCCTCCCCAGTTGCTATGATGGTTAGCTGTGCTGTGACTCACAGCCCACAGTAGCTTCCCTGACTGCTGCCCTGACTGTTTACTTTAAGACTGAAGTCTTGTGATGAGGGACCAACCCTTAACAAAAACAACATACACCCTGTTTTCTTGTGATTTGGTAAGGACTGTCCTATAATAACTTAATTATGACGCAAATAATCACATTATTGAAAGGTTTTGAAATCTTTGCCATGGCAACAGCAGTGTCTGGATCTTTCAGTGAGTCGTCATGTGGTTGTCCAGCTATCTTCATCTCACAATGTCTGCTCACATCCACCAAACTGGTTATAATCCACATAGTTACAGTAGCCACATAGTTACAGAAGCCTTTGGGTGTGAATGCTCTTTTTACAATGTTTTATGTCCTGTTTAATTTATTACTTCTAATAAACATTGAGTTTGCTTTAACAACTGAAACACAACAGAAACACCACGTGACAGAGTCCCTAAATCAAAAATTTCTCCTCAGAACTGCATCTAACAAAAACGCCTGTAACGGATTTCAGCATCATCTCTAAGATGAAGGTATAATCTCAAACCCCATTGACCCTCATACCACAGTTTTGTACGTACATATAATGGCTGTCTCACCTCTCAAATTCTGTCCTTAGAAGACGCTCTCTCTCCAGTATGGCTACATGGAGATGACCCCACTCCTTCTCCACATCGATAGGCTGGTACCCAGGGGGCACCTTGACATGACCCGCCTGAACTGCACCCTGCAAGGACAGACAATGACAGGCACAGGCAGGAACATTTTCAAAAAAGGGCCAGCATTTACTTGATGCAGTTAGTTGATTGAACTATTCTTTATATGTGTCCAAACATTCACTCTGGGCATTTTGGCTTGCACCTTCTTCTCTTTTTAGTGGTTTATTTGCTAACCTCAAAAGACTTGTAGATGTGTTTGGATCGATTCTTGTCTGCTTCCTTTGCAGGCAGCTCTGTCTCCTTGAACATCAGAAACTGGCGCCAAAGCACCTGTGGATTTAAAATATTGCTGAATTAATTCAACATGACAATTAAACATACATAGCTCTTGTTTCATCACATCCCTCAGACAATTTTCAGAAATCAGAGACAAACAGTCATAAGTTATTATGAAGGCTAGTACCCTTTACCAGTGACTTATTTTCTCATTGCAGACCACTTCCATAACTGCTTCCCCACTGGCACCAATAGGAAAAAATCATGCTAAATTCATTCACTGTTTCAACTGAACATAGCCTTTGTCATACATCAAGTCTCTAAGATGATTATAAAAAATCTGAAACAGACAGAATATTCACTTACATGTATCAAGAGATTTCCCCAATAGGTGAGGAGACTTACCTCAATCTCCTCATAGCTGGTAGGGAACTTCCTCTCCTCAAACACGATGATGTGGTGTCTGATCCACTGCAGCAGCAGGGTCACCAGCTCATAGTACTCCTGCCAGCGCAGCTCCAGCTCCTGGGGGACACACAGGAGACAGGAGAGGGTTCATTAGAGAAAGGTTGAATGAAACTAAATCAATTACGGTAGTCACCATATCACTGCATTAAACATCACTCCACTGGTTAAACATGGTGTAGGGTGAAGTTTCCTGTAGATGCTGATCTTGGGTCAGTTTTGCATTTCCCCCTCTAATGGTTAATGTTAGGATTGGGGGAAGGGAAGCTGATCCTATACCAGTACCTAAGGGAAAATTCACCTCATAGTGTCAAAGACATCCTCTGTAGCTCAATTGGTAGAGCATGGCGCTTGTAACGCCAGGGTAGTGGGTTCGATCCCCGGGACCACCCATACGAAAAAATATATGCGCACATGACTGTAAGTCGCTTTGGATAAAAGCGTCTGCTAAATGGCATATTATTATTATTATTATTATTATTATATTATGTGATCTCAAAGGTGAGACCAGGAGGAATCCCCCTAGTGGTGATGACCTATATGGTTCCAAGAAGACGACACTTACATTGGCTTTCACCCCATCCTGGACGTCAGGTACCCGGGGCATGACATCATACAGGGAGGACACGTATGTGATGATGGACTTCTCATCTGGGTGTGGTACATCCACATCTTAATAGAGGGGAGACAATGAACATCAGTTAAAAACTGATTTTAGAAAAAGCTAAATGCAAGAATTCATACAAATATGCCGCTAATAGTATTGAGAGTAATTGAGAATACAATACAAGTGAGTCCCCTTACCTTCTGGGTCGAGCAGCCGAGTGACACCCAGGTCTCTCTCTGCCACACTGAAGGCCTGCTCCAGGTTTTCTACATGGGTCTGTCGGTACACCTTACTCATGTCAATCAGACTAGGCCTGGGGACAAAACATAGAGAAGGCTGTTAAAACTATAAAATTGCATCTCAGACACCGTATTTTCTTATAGGATATAGTGCAAATGTACAGTGGGGAGAACAAGTATTTGATACACTGCCATTTTTGCAGGTTTTCCTACTTACAAAGCATGTAGAGGTCTATAATTTTTTATCATTGGTACACTTCAACTGTGAGAGACGGAATCTAAAACAAAAATCCAGAAAATCACATTGTATGATTTTTAAGTAATTCATTTACATTTTATTGCATGACATAAGTATTTGATCACCTACCAACCAGTAAGAATTCTGGCTCTCACAAACCTGTTAGTTTTTCTTTAAGAAGCCTGCCTGTTCTCCACTCATTACCTGTATTAACTGCACCTGTTTGAACTCGTTACCTGTATAAAAGACACCTGTCCACACACTCAATCAAACAGACTCCAACCTCTCCACAATGGCCAAGACCAGAGAGCTTTGTAAGGACATCAGGGATAAAATTGTAGACCTGCACAAGGCTGGGATGGGCTACAGGACAATAGGCAAGCAGCTTGGTGAGAAGGCAACAACTGTTGGCGCAATTATTAGAAAATGGAAGAAGTTCAAGATGACGGTCAATCACCCTCGGTCTGGGGCTCCATGCAAGATCTCACCTCGTGGGGCATCAATGATCATGAGGAAGGTGAGGGATCAGCCCAGAACTACACGGCAGGACCTGGTCAATGACCTGAAGAGAGCTGGGACCACAGTCTCAAAGAAAACCATTAGTAACACACTACGCCGTCATGGATTAAAATCCTGCAGCGCACGCAAGGTCCCCCTGCTCAAGCCAGTGCATGTCCAGGCCCGTCTGAAGTTTGCCAATGACCATCTGGATGATCCAGAGGAGGAATGGGAGAAGGACATGTGGTCTGATGAGAAAAACACAGAGCTTTTTGGTCTAAACTCCACTCGCCGTGTTTGGAGGAAGAAGAAGGATGAGTACAACCCCAAGAACACGATCCCAACCGTGAAGAATGGAGGTGGAAACATCATTCTTTGGGGATGCTTTTCTGCAAAGGGGACAGGACAACTGCACCGTATTGAGGGGAGGATGGAGGGGGCATGTATCGCAAGATCTTGGCCAACAACCTCCTTCCCTCAGTAAGAGCATTGAAGATGGGTCGTGGCTGGGTCTTCCAGCATGACAACGACCCGAAACATACAGCCAGGGCAACTAAGGAGTGGCTCCGTAAGAAGCATCTCAATGTCCTGGAGTGGTCTAGCCGGTCTAGCCAGTCTCCAGACCTGAACCTAATAGAAAATCTTTGGAGGGAGCTGAAAGTCTGTATTGCCCAGCGACAGCCCCGAAACCTGAAGGATCTGGAGAAGGTCTGTATGGAGGAGTGGGCCAAAATCCCTTGCTACAGTGTGTGCAAACCTGGTCAAGACCTACAGGAAACGTATGATCTCTGTAATTGCAAACCATCAATCAATCAATCAATTTTATTTTATATAGCCCTTCGTACATCAGCTGATATCTCGAAGTGCTGTACAGAAACCCAGCCTAAAACCCCAAACAGCTAGTAATGCAGGTGTAGAAGCACGAGGTTTCTCTACCAAATATTAAGTTCTGCTTGTCTGATGTATCAAATACTTATGTCATGCAATAAAATGCAAATTAATTACTTAAAAATCATACAATGTGATGTTCTGGATTTTAGATTCCGTCTCTCACAGTTTAAGTGTACCTATGATAAAAATTACAGACCTCTACATGCTTTGTAAGTAGGAAAACCTGCAAAATCGGCAGTGTATCAAATACTTGTTCTCCCCACTGTATGTATTATATTCATCTTTGCAACCTCAAAACATTCAGGTCAAACCATTAAATAGAGGTTATTTCCTAAAAAACATATTGATAAAACAAAACATAAGCATACAGATAATATTGTTATGGCCTACATTCAGTACTTTGCAAAACTATTCATCCCCCTTGGCGTTTTTCCTATTTTGTTGCATTACAACCTGTAATAAAAAAAAAAAATGGATTTCATGTAATGGACATACACAAAATTGTCCAAATTGGTGAAGTGAAATGTAAAAAATAACTTGTTTTAAAATATTCAAAAAAATAAATAACGGAAAAGTGGTGCGTGCATATGTATTCACCCCCTTCGCTATGAAGCCCATAAATAAGATCTGGTGCAACCAATTACCTTCAGAAGTCACATAATTAGTTAAATAAAGTCCACCTGTGTGCAATCTAAGTGTCACATGATATGTCACATGATCTCAGTATATATACACCTGTTCTGAAAGGCCCCAGAGTCTGCAACACCACTAAGCAAGGGGCACCACCAAGCAAGCGGTCCATGAAGACCAAGTAGCTCTCCAAACAGGTCAGGGACAAAGTTGTGGAAAAGTACAGATCAGGGTTGAGTTATAAAAAGAAATCCGAAACGTTGAACATCCCACGGAGCACCATTAAATCCATTATGAAAAAATGGAAAGAATATGGCACCACAACAAACCTGCAAAGAGAGGGCTGCCCACCAAAACTCACGGAACAGGCAAGGAGGGCATTAATCAGAGAGGCAACAAAGAGACCAAAGATAACCCTGAAGGAGCTGCAAAGCTCCACAGCGGAGATTGGAGTATCTGTCCATAGGACCACTTTAAGCCGTACACTCCACAGAGCTGGGCTTTATGGAAGAGTGGCCAGAAAAAGCCATTGCTTAAAGAAAAAAATAAGCATACACGTTTGGTGTTCGTCAAAAGGCATGTGGGAGACTCACCAAACATATGGAAGGAGGTACTCTGGTCAGATGAGACTAAAATTGAGCTTTTTGGCCATCAAGGAAAACACTATGTCTGGCACAAACCCAACACCTCTCATCTCCCCGAGTGAAGCATGGTGGTGAGAGCATCATGCTTTGGGGATGTTTTTCATTGGCAGGGACTGGGAAACTGGTCAAAATTGAAGGAATGATGGATGGCGCTAAATACAGGGAAATTCTTGAGGGAAACCTGTTTCAGTCGTCCAGAGATTGGAGACTAGGACGGAGGTTCACCTTCCAGCAGGACAATGACCCTAAGCATACTGCTAAAGCAACACTTGAGTGGTTTAAGGGGAAACATTGAAATGTCTTGGAATGGCCTAGTCAAAGCCCAGACCTCAATCCAATTGAGAATCTGGTATGACTTAAAGACTGCTGTACACCAGCGGAACCCATTCAACTTGAAGGAGCTGGAGCAGTTTTGCCTTGAAGAATGGGCAAGAATCCCAGTGGCTAAATGTGCCAAGCTTATGGAGACCTATTCCAAGAAACTTGCAGCTGTAATTGCTGCAAAAGGTGGGGGGGGGGGGGGGGGGGGGGGGGGGGGGGGGGTGAATAGTTATGTATGCTCAAGTTCTGTATTTGTTTGTCTTATTTGTTGTTTGTTTGACAACCAAAAATATTTTGCATCTTCAAAGTGGTAGGAATGTGTAAATCAAATGATACAAACCCCCCCAAAAAATCCATTTTAATTCCAGGTTGTAAGGCAACAAAATAGGAAAAATGCCAAGGGGGTGAATACTTTCGCAAGCCACTGTAATTCTGTATATGATCACATCTCTCTGTTATGCGTATGAATACATGGGAAAAAATTTACAAAATGAAAATCACTTGGAGATGATTTCCTGCTGTTTTTACAGTCTTTTATGTCTAACAATGAAAATTCCCCATAAAATAACCGCCAGTTGGGGAACCCTGCTGTAGGCAGTTTAATCATGATGGACTGCCTACATTAGATCCTGATCGACATGCCTCTCTCAGAGGAATGTGAATACAGACAGGGGCAGGCAAAAACAAGAGCTCCTTCTACCAACCAGTTAGTTAGAAATTCCATGTACAAGTTGTTTCATGTACACTGCCAATAAAGGTAATTGCAGTCAAATAGCGTGCAGATACAAGATTTGACTGCTTGGATGAGCACAGGGCATCTCATATTTGCCAATGGATTTAGCCTGGCGTGGTTAAACAAAATACAGGGGCTTTGTAAACCATAGGCATAAAATGCAAAACTTATTATATTCCCTATTAGAAAATATCTAATGTCTAGAAGTAGCAAAAAAAAGGAAACGGCTATCAAAATTAATCCCAACCACAGCCTTAATGAAACAATGACATAAACCCTGCGTACCCTTGCACAACTCTCTGCACATAATAGTCTCCATGGCCCCTGGGGTAGTGCTCCATATCAGAGTAGATGACCTGTCTGTAGGAGTGTCTGTCCCTGCTCAGGTGCACTATGCGTGGGTCTGACCCTGACCCAGACCCTGCCTCCTGCTCCCCGCTCTGCGAACCTCGGCTGGAGGAGGACTCCCCCGGGCTCTGGAACCCCCGACTCGAGACAAAGGTGCTGGTCTCAGCTGGGATGTCCTCACACAGCATGACAACCCGGTCCTCCAGATCACTGACAGAGCCCTGGGTGCTGCTGGAGGTGCTGTTCAACCGTCTCTTGGAGGAGCGGAACTTCTTCTTCAGACTGTGCATCATGGTGACGGTGTGTGTGGGTGTCCTCAACTGCAACGGCGTCCAAACAGTGTCCAAACTCTCCTCTTGCAGTTTTTCCTTTCAGTCTTACAAATCCATCCATGTATGAGACTGTGACTGATGTTTTTCAGATTTTACAAGGTTCATGTTGCATTCTCACCCTCCAGATATGAGAATACTGTAGCGGCAGACACTCCCCCAAAACACAACTATCATTCGAGCTTTCCAGTCCCTTTTCAGTTCAGTGGCTCATGTATCTGCATTGCCTTTGACGTAGCATCCCCTTTCCATAGCTAGAGAATGTGCAAGCCTTGAGCGTTGACGGTCATAGAATTGAGAGATGACTTTCTCATGCATTTCTTCATTCAATGAGTTGTATGTGAGCCCAGACTGCTTTGTTGATTTGTCGTTCTGCAGTCTGTTTCTGTCTTGCTCTTGGTCTGTGTGGAGTTTGTATGGCAGACACACCTGAGACACCTGGGCATACCTGAGCTGTGCTGCTACTTGCTGAGACTTAAAAGCACAGCCCCTGTGGGCATCTTATTTTCAAATTCATGGGACCTCAGTCACAATCCTCTCTCTTTTCATGCAACTAAATAATACCTCAAAGCTGCCTCGCCTCGCCACCTCCTGTGCCTTTCTCCTGGGTGTGTGAGCATACAGGGTGTGTGTTTGTACAGTATGTGCAAACATGAAACGTCTCTTGTCAAAATCTATCCTGACCCCTTATGGTAGTTGTTATGCGTATTTTTTAGCCAAATTTTTCATTGTTGATTGAATGTTACTGCTATGTGACCTGTTGGACTTGCACCTGCCTCTGTGGATGACCGTGGAAGATCTTTCACCCAGAACTGTCAATAGGCTTAACTGAAATGTTGGGTGTTGTTGTTTTAAGAGCATCTTTGAGATTATTGCTGTAAAGAGAAGCGCTCTACAAATTAAATATATTATTATTATTATTATTTATTATTGCTATGTGCTGGATTGCATACCTGGGCATGCATGATCAAATGTTTTCAGCAATGAAACTGCTTCCAAATCAAATAATGAGAAGTACTTCCAACTGATTGCATAACTGTAGCGGAAGAATGAGAGAAGGTGATACTTGCGACTTGCAGGCACTGAGGCCAAGTGTGATGACTCCATCATGATTTATGCCATTGTTTGGATGGTTGACCATTTGTGGGCTATCACAGGGGTCAAACACACCTTATCTGTGGCTTTCTCTGGGGAGGGACATTCCCACAGAACCCTGGGAGCACGGACACCGTTGGAGGTGTGAAGACAGATGAAAACGTGAAATCTACTAAATTAATGTTCCTGTGAATTACATTGTCATGTTTGGATTGTTTCAAGATTTCATGAAGAACTACGAATTTGTACATGTTTTATTGTACTGTAAGTGCTAGGGATTTATTGTTACAGGGAAACTGTAATAGACAGAGGATAGTTCAAAGAGGAGTGACACAGGGGTGTGCTCCTATTATTTAGATTTAGTTGATTCGATTAGGATCTGGGAGTGTTGTTCCTGTCTATTATTTTTCTAGCAAAGTGCAAAGAAAGGTTAATTATGCTTAATTAACCACCTTAGGTCTTAGCGATAGTAATTGACTCTAAGTTATTCTGTAATGTACAGTGAGGGAAATAAGTATTTGATCCTCTGCTGATTTTGTACGTTTGCCCACTGACAAAGAAATGATCAGTCTATAATTTTAATGGTAGGTTTATTTGAACAGTGAGAGACAGAATAACAACAAAAAAATCCAGAAAAACGCATGTCAAAAATGTTATAAATTGATTTGCATTTTAATGAGGGAAATAAGTATTTGACCCCCTCTCAATCAGAAAGATTTCTGGCTCCCAGGTGTCTTTTATACAGGTAACGAGCTGAGATTAGGAGCACACTCTTAAAAGGAGTGTTCCTAATCTCAGTTTGTTACCTGTATAAAAGACACCTATCCACAGAAGCAATCAATCAATCAGATTCCAAACTCTCCACCATGGCCAAGACCAAAGAGCTCTCCAAGGATGTCAGGGACAAGATTGTAGACCTACACAAGGCTGGAATGGGCTACAAGACCATCGCCAAGCAGCTTGGTGAGAAGGTGACAACAGTTGGTGCGATTATTCGCAAATGGAACACAAAATAACTGTCAATCTCCCTCGGCCTGGGGCTCCATACCTCGTGGAGTTGCAATGATCATTAGAACGGTGAGGAATCAGCCCAGAACTACACAGGAGGATCTTGTCAATGATCTCAAGGCAGCTGGGACCATAGTCACCAAGAAAACAATTGGTAACACACTACGCCGTGAAGGACTGAAATCCTGCAGCACCCGCAAGGTCCCCCTGCTCAAGAAAGCACATATACAGGGCCGTCTGAAGTTTGCCAATGAACATCTGAATGATTCAGAGGAGAACTGGGTGAAAGTGTTGTGGTCAGATGAGACCAAAATGGAGCTCTTTGGCATCAACTCAACTTGCCGTGTTTGGAGGAGGAGGAATGCTGCCTATGACCCCAGGAACACCATCCCCACCGTCAAACATGGATGTGGAAACATTATGCTTTGGGGGTGTTTTTCTGCTAAGGGGACAGGACAACTTCACCGCATCAAAGGGACGATGGACGGGGCCATGTACCGTCAAATCTTGGGTGAGAACCTCCTTCCCTCAGCCAGGGCATTGAAAATGGGTTGTGGATGGGTATTCCAGCATGACAATGACCCAAAACACATGGCCAAGGCAACAAGAAGAAGCACATTAAGGTCCTGGAGTGGCCTAGCCAGTCTCCAGACCTTAATCCCATAGAAAATCTGTGGAGGGAGCTGAAGGTTCGAGTTGCCAAACGTCAGCCTCGAAACCTTAATGACTTGGAGAAGATCTGCAAAGAGGAGTGGAACAAAATCCCTCCTGAGATGTGTGCAAACCTGGTGGCCAACTACAAGAAACGTCTGACCTCTATGATTGCCAACAAGGGTTTTGCCACCAAGTACTAAGTCAGGTTTTGCAGAGGGGTCAAATACTTATTTCCCTAATTAAAATGCAAATCAATTTATAACATTTTTGACATGCGTTTTTCTGGATTTTGTTATTGTTATTCTGTCTCTCACTGTTCAAACAAACCTACCATTAAAATTATAGACTGATCACGTCTTTGTCAGTGGGCAAACGTACAAAATCAGCAGGGGATCAAATATTTTATTCCCTCACTGTATAATGTATTTCATGTACACTGTAATTGTTTGAGTGTTAATTATTTTGTGACTAATAAATTATAATAGTTGAATTGAGTAAATGCATTCCTCGTTTTACAGAGTAATTATCTGATAGACTATACGCTTATAATTTAGTAGGTCTATTGGTAGTTGTTATAAACACTATACACAAAGCATATGCTTGGGTACCACCTTGACAACCTTGATCTGCTTGCCTCAATAAATTAATGCCAGAACATTGGTCGCAGGATGACCTATTTGTGTCTAGTCTCTTAATAACTGCATAACGGTGTAAGTTAGACATGTTCATTATAGTCATACTAAGTGGTGAGGCAAGGCTCACTACCTTGACTAGATCCTTTAGAGACGCAGAGGGCCTTTTGCATTTCTTCACAAAATATTGGAGTCAGATTGATAAATGTAGTTCAACATAATTTCTACATAATGGTTGGATAATTTCCATCCAACTATAAATAGTGACCCCTCCTCAGTTGATGGGGATTTCTACACCCCTACATCACTACCTGTACAAGTCAGCCTTTATGCAGTGCGACAGTAAATATGAATTTCACATTCCTCTCTTTGTATGAACAGTAATAAATAAAACATTTAACATGCATGTGGAGCACAGGGGTTCACTATGGCCCAAGGATGTACAGTACAAGTCAAAGTTTGGACACACCTACTCATTCAAGGGTTTTTCTTGTAGAAGACATCAGAACTATGAAACAACACATACGGAATCATGAAGTAACCAAAAAAGTGTTAAACAAATCAAAATATATATTATTTGAGATTCTTCAAATAACCACCCTTTGCCTTGATGACAGCTTTGCACACTCTTGGCATTCTCTCAACCAGCATCACCTGGAATGCTTTTCCAACAGTCTTGAAGGAGTTCCCACATATGCTGAGCACTTGTTGGATGCTTTTCCTTCACTCTGCCGTCTGACTCATCCCAAACCATCTCAATTGGGTTGAGGTCGGGGGATTGTGGAGGCCAGGTCATCTGATGCAGCACTCCATCACTCTCCTTCTTGGTAAAATAGCCCTTACACAGCCTGGAGGTGTGTTGGGTCATTGTCCTATTGAAAAACAAATGATAGTCCCACTAAGCGACAACCAGATGGGATGGCATATCGCTGCAAAATGCTGTGGTAGCCATGCTGGTTAAGTGTGCCTTGAATTCTAAATAAATCGCAGACAGTGTCACCAGCAAAGCACCCCTAACACCGCCTCCTCCATGCTTTATGGTGGGAACTACACATCCGTTCACCCACACCGCGTCTCACAAAGACACGGCGTTTGGATCCAAAAATCTCCAATTTGGACTCCAGACCAAAGGACACATTTCCACCAGCCTAATGTCTATTGCTCGTGTTTCTTGGCCCAAGCAGGTCTCTTCTTATTATTGGTGTCCTTTAGTAGTGGTTTCTTTGCAGCAATTCGACCATGAAGGCCTGATTCACACAGTCCCCACTGAACAGTTGATGTTGAGATGTGTCTTATTTGAGCTGTTCTTGCCATAATATGACTTGGTCTTTTACCAAATAGGGCTATCTTCTGTATACGCCCCCCCCCCCCCCCCCCTACCTTGTCACAACACAACTGATTGGCTTAAACGCATTAAGAAGGAAAGAAATTCCACAAATTAACTTTTAAGAAGGCACAACTGTTAATTGAAATTCAATCCAGGTGACTACCTCATGAAGCTGGTTGAGAGAATGCCAAGAATGTGCAAAGCTGTCATCAAGGCAAAGGGTGGCTATTTGAAGAATCTCAAATATACAATATACAGTATTTTGATTAGTTTAATACTTTTTTGGTTACTGCATGATTCTATATGTGTTATTTCATAGTTTTAATGTCTTCACTTTTTTTCTACAATGTAAAAAATTCCCTTCAATGAGTAGGTGTGTCCAAACTTTTGACTGGTAGTTTAAATAATAGCAGGTCCAAGGCAAGCACATGTAATCACGAAATGATTAGGCATAGCTTAAAAAGAAAATCCATGACCCCCATGATTTCCTCAAGCCCCAGTCAGATCACCTTATTATTACTTGTTCAAGGCTGCATCTCACCTGTGTTTGTGTATGATTGTGTTGAAGAGCTTGCCGTCCCTCCAGCTGGTGGTGAAGTTGTCGCAGCGCATCCCGTGGTATCCCTCCACCATGCGCTGGGACCACAGCAGCAGCTTCTCCTTGGCCGTCATGTCGTCTGACTGGCCATTCACCTGGATGTCTGATATCTGGGGGGGGGGGTATTGGTAAGGCAGGCTATAGAGTATACTTTAATCATGGTCCTGAGGATCCATAAGGTATGCAGGCTTTTGTTCAATCCCAGTAGTACTAACACATCTGATTCAACTAGTTTGATGATTAGTTAATTATTTGAATCAGGTGTGTTAGTACTGGGCTTAAACAAAAACCTGCACACCTTGTAGGTCCCCAGGACTGAATAACACTGTCATAGATGGTTCAAGGTGTGGTGGGTTGGCAAAAAGGCTGGAAGAAAGGGGACTGTGGACAAAGGGCACATACTGGAAGAGAACTACGCATGCTTTGGTATAATCATTATGCATGGTTTTAAAGTTCAAAGCAACTTGACTTGATCCAGGCTTAAGATGACACATTTTCAACCTCAATAACCAACTGTCAGATGTAAAAAGCACATGAAATCCATTGCAGCTTGCTGCTGTGAAACCCTCTCAAACAGCTTGATGTTCCCTGGTGCAGAATCCAACTTGTGAAAGTAAAAACATCCATGGGGCACAGAATTTCAAAAGGTGAGTGGTGACTATGAGTCACAGGCACAGCCTTGTGAATCTCTCAGCAGTCTATTTCCCTCTGGTGAGAGAGGGATAACTACTGCATCTACAGGAAGCTTCAACAACTCAGGTAGCTTAAGTTAAATGATGGAGCTGTGTTTACCTTAGTGTTTTGTTGCTGATGCTCAACGCTCAATACTATGTGTGCATTGCATACTGTGCTCAATAGATTCTTAAATAATTAATGTATTGCCTTGCTAGAATACTATGCATAACTCAAACCCCTATCAACCACCAAAACATAAAACAATAACCAAAGAAAAACTAGATGATCCATGGAGCAGTGGTTGTTTTTAGTCATAACAAGATACTTTATAGAGCCTTATTGGAACAAGAAAGATTGCTTTATGACCAATGTGACATTTTCAATGTGGCACACTGTCAGGGGTTCTAATGTTACTTTCAGGCTTTTATTTAAGGTAAGGGTGGAGAGAGGAAATATTTAGGACTTACCATCCCATCTTCTCTGTAGTGTGGGATCCCCACTGCTATGTATGTACTCACGATGTGACTCACACACACCACATGGAAAGAGGCCCTCCGCCCTCTCAGTTCGCCTTTATGAGAATCTAGAGAGCTTCCTGCTTCCTTCCACTTCATCAAGGCATCATGTTTTGATGAGAGGACTCAAAGGGCTAAAAGAACATAGAGTCTGCATCTCAAATAGCCCCCTGTTCCCTATAGGGTGCATTACTTTTGATCAGAGCCCTATGGGGTCCTCTCATCAAAAAATAAGTATGGCCAATGGTGGGACTCGTTGAAATGTTTAGAGCAATGACCTGCCACACCCACCTCACTTTCCTGCCTGTCCACGGGAAACCCTGAGTCACCCTGGAGTGGACGGAATCCCACATTACGTTAATCTCAGTATAACCAGTATGCCCATTATAGCATCAAAAAATCTCCTTGTGCCCTTCTTTTTCCATATTTCTAAATATGCTCAACTGCTAAACGAATAACTAAACGCTCCTGGCATCTTCCATTTTGGGGAGAAATAAGTTCCATCATTCACTGAGTTATATTGAGGATGGAAACCTCACATGGTCTTCAAATTAGTGTTTCAATATGTTTTTCTTAATGTTCAGTCTGAAATCCCTCAGACATATGGGAATCATGAGTAGTAGAGTTGTGTATAGACAGTGGGTGCCAAATACTAAAAGAGGCCGATTTGGAATAATTGAATTGGACTCATATCTGCTCTGTCAACAGAAGCGGTGGGCTTGGAATTGATTAGTTGGCCCAGACAAGTCCTACTGTACTACTGTAGCTTTCCCTACTGCTACAGGCAACGATAGAAAATTATCCTTCCAGGTGAAATATACCAAACAGGTTATAGGATGTTGTACCTGGATCCCATCACCCTGGCCTAGGCTTATCATTTGAATGATAATAAACATATTGGTTGTTGTTATGCTATGAGTGTAGCATGACATACCTGGAAGTGAAGGATGATGGTCCATATCAGGCCCAGGGTCAGCTTGGGGTTTCCATCGGCGATGTCATCATTCCTGATGTTGACCAGTTTGACCTGTCACAAAGGAGACACAAGTATGTACAACCATCTTAAAGAAAATTGGCCCTCTAGATTCAGCTATATCTAAATGGTTATCTAATGAATTATAAGGTATTGGGACTGTTAGATTGCATTAGTGTACATGAGTGTCAGTTCAAACTGAGAAAAATATGTTACTTAAAAAACATAGACACACTGAATGTACAAAACATTAGGAATACCTACTCTTTCCATGACATAGACTGACCAGGTCAATTCAGGTCAAAGCTATGTCACCTGTTAAATCCACTTCAATCAGTGTCGATGAAGGGAAGGACACAGGTTAAAGAAGGAACACTGTCGACACCTTGTAGAGTCCATGCCCTGAAGAACAGAGGCTGTTCTGGGGGCAAAATGGGGTGCAACTCAGTGTTAGGAAGGTGTTCCTAGTGTTTTTTAGACTCAATGAATCATCACACTGTACCTGTCTATGTTTGAGGAAGTCCAGTGCGATCTGTACATTCTGCAGTTTGTGGAAGCGCATACGCCCCTTCTCCCTGGGCTGTGAGATGTGAGAAGAGATTGAACTTTAGAGGGAGAGGAGAACACACATACAGTAACAATATGACAGGGAAGAGCAGGCCCCATGACTGCAGGCAAAGTATTTCAGATTGAGAACACATTTTATTGGATTACAAGCAGCAGTCATGGTCCTATATAATCAACCACATTGAATGGACATCACAGGAGGCTGCTGAGGGGAGAACAGCTCATAATAATGGCTGGAACGGAGCAAATGGAATGGCATCAAACACCTGGAAACCATGTGTTTGATGTATTTGATACCATTCCACCTACTCCGCTCCAGTCATCACCACAAGCCCGTTCTTCCCAATTAAGGTACCACCAACTTCCTGTGATGGACATTGAATTTGAGATTTGACTCCAAATTTGGTTGAGTTGTGGTCAGAGCTGAACACAGTATCTCATGACTGTCCAGTCACCCCATTCATTTTGCATGGCCCTATTGAAAAGCATTGGAATGAGATCCAGAGGCATGAACATTCTAAGGATAATGGGTGAAGGTGAGAATGTTAAACCTGGACCACTAGCTACTGGATTCTTCCAATCATCAATCACTTCCATTGCTTGCTCTAAGAAACTAACTACATCCATGTTCAATGCATCGATCTAAACATTACATATGCAATAAAATGCAAATGAATTACTTTAAAATCATACAATGTGATTTTCTGGATTTTTGTTTTAGATTCCGTCTCTCACAGTTGAAGTGTACCTATGATAAAAATTACAGACCTCTACATGCTTTGTAAGTAGGAAAACCTGCAAAATCGGCAGTGTATCAAATACTTGTTCTCCCCACTGTACATGAAGCCAAGCAGCAGTGCTTAGAGACTTTATGCTTCTCAATCTCTAGATAATGGTCAAGTGTGCAGGAGACCTGCATATCTGGTCCACCATTTCATGCATCGGTGCAGCAAGTCACAAGCTCTCAGTGAACCACAAGCTCAACTAGCGTGCAGGTCGATCTCTTATTGGCTTGCAGTATCACTCTGGCTTCTGTTTACAGTAATTTGGGTCAAATGAACGGATGCCTGTATCTCTTTCTCAGAACTCAGACTAATATGCTATGACTTGGAGGGAGGGCACAGATGGAACTAGCAGACTGAACATGAAATGATCTAGGGCTGAAAGTGAAGGAAAAATCCCAGCTTTATTCATTATGTTTTTTTATACAATGGGTGGGTCTAATCCTGAATGCTGATTGGTGAAAAACGCATTCCAGACGGTGTCTATTCCACAAGTTACCACCGGCTAAATCTTAAATTGCCTATTTACTCTGTTCCATCTGACTGCGCAATTCACTGTCTCATCAGCCCAGCCAGGCAATTTATAAACTTGATCTCCACTATAAAAAGCATCTAGACATTATCTCACATTTCTTGTAGACTAACATTTAGTTTTCAACAGCGGAGATTTGTATAAACCTTGCTGTATGTCTCTCAGAAATTTGCAACATTGTTTCAATATTCAAATTCGATCTTCAGCTGTCGCATAGTAATGAACGTGTCGGGAGTAGGGTCAAGGCAGACAGGCAGGCAGCGTTCTCATCCAGTCTAAATCATTAATCAGCTGGCATCATTTTTATGGATATATACAAAGAAATGTAAATTGAAAAAGGTCAAACTAAACGAAGTGCAGCTAGTTTGCAGTCTTTCCAGCTTCCGTTTGAAGTGATTGTGTTAGCTGAATTGTTGGCTAGCTCCTCTGAACAACAGTGTCCTGACGAGAGAGCACATTTTCTATGCCAGGTGAAATCACACCTCATTAGCTCATTGTTATGGATGTATCCAAATAAATGTCACTAGAAAACAGCTTATGCAAATGAAACTACTTTGCTGTTGTTCTGGCTGCACTTTTTGACGTGACTGTAAGTTAGCCGTAGTTGGCTAGCTAGCAAGCAAGGGATAAGAACGTTGCCAGCCAGTATAGCAATGGAACATTTAGAAGACATTTGAAACCCCACCTCTTTAAGGAATACCTGGGATAGGATAAAGTAATCCTTCTACCCCCCCCCCTCCCCCCCCCCAAAAAAAAGGCTATAAGGTGGCTATAAGGTGAATGCACCTATTTGTAAGTCGCTCTGGATAAGAGCGTCTGCTAAATGACGTAAATTTAAATTTAAATGTAGAACAAACGACATAGATACAGAACAAAAAGACTGAACGACTGGGTCGCGTCTCTGGCAACTGAACCGATAGAACGAACAACCAGCTGGCTTGGGTAGCAACCCTAGATTTGTGTCGGGACTATATCTAGTGGAAGGATGAAATAGTATGGATAAATTAATCTAAATAACGTTTTTAATGAAAATATATCAATCATTATTTGAATATATTGGTATCCTGTTGTATAAAAGTGATAATTTCCTCGAAGCTGGTGTTTGGAGGATATATTGACTTAGTCTCGGGCCTAACAACACCCTTCTTGGGCATTATTACTTAAATAAGTAACAAAGGGACCTACTACACCCACATAGCTTATCACAGCACAATGACTAGGGACTACCAGTCATTTACCACACAATATCCCCAAATCCAACACAAAAAGGATAATTTTACATCTTCATTCCCTACTCAATGACCCTCAGCTCAAGGTTCTTGCAGAGATGGGTTGGGTTTATTCTTGTAGAGTTGGGTTTCTATGCTACATCCCAAATGCAACCCTATTCCCTACATAGTGTACTACTTTAAACAAGGGCCATAAGGCTCTGGTTAAATATAGTGCATTGCAGTGCATTTGGAAAGTATTCAGACCCCTTGACTTTTTCCACATTTTGTTACATAACAGCCTATTCTAAAAGGAATTAAATAAAAAATGTTCCTCATCAATCTACACACAATACCCCATAATGACAAAGCGAAAATAGGTTTTTACAAATTTTTACAAATTTAACACAAATGAGAAACAAAAATACCTTATTTACATAAGTATTCAGACCCTTTGCTATGATACTCAAAATTGAGCTCAGGTGCATCCTTTTTCCATTGATCATCCTTGAGATGTTTCTACAACTTGATTGGAGTCCGCCTGTGGTAAATTTAATTGATTGGACATGATTTGGAAAGGCACACACCTGTCTATACAAGGTCCCACAGTTGACAGTGCATGTCAGAGCAAAAACTGTTTTAGAATTGTCCTTAGAGCTCTGAGACAAGGTTGTGTCGAGGCACAGATCTGGGGAAGGGTACCAAAACATTTCTGCAGATTTGAAGGTCCCCAAGAACACAATGGCCTCCATCGTTCTTAAATGGAAGTAGTTTGGAACCACCAACTCTTCCTAGAGCTGGCCGCCCAGCCAAACTGAACAATTGGGGGAGAAGGCCGATGGTCACTCTAACAGAGCTCCAGAGTTCCTCTGTGGAGATGGAAGAACCTTCCAGAAGGACAACCATCTCTGCAGCACTCCACCAATCAGGCCTTTATGGTAGAGTGTCCAGATGGAAGACACTCCTTAGTAAAAGGCACATGAGAGCCTGCTTGGAGTTTGCCAAAATACACATAAAGGACTCTTAGACCACAAGAAACAAGATTCTCTGGTCTGATGAAACCAAGATTGAACTATTTTGCCTGAATGCCAAGCGTCACTTCTGTAGGAAACCTGGCACCATCCCTTAGGTGAAGCATGGTGGTGGCAGCATCATGCTGTGGGGATGTTTTTCAGCGGCAGGGACTGGGAGACAAGCCAGGATCGAGGGATCTTTGATGAAAACCTGCTCTGGAGTGCTCAGGACCTTAGACTGGGGCAAAATGTCACCTTCCAACAGGACAACGACCCTAAGCACACAGCCAAGACAATGCAGGAGTGGCTTCGGGACAAGTCTCTGAATGTCCTTGAGTGGCTAAGCCAGAGCCTGAACATCGAACATGAAAATAACTGTGCAGCAACTCTCCCCATCCAACATGACAGAGCTTGAGAGGATCTGCAGAGAAGAATGAGAGAAACTCCCCAAATACAGGTGTGCCAAGCTTGTAGCATCATATCCAAGAAGACTCAAGGCTGTAATCGCTGCCAAAGGTGCTTCAACAAAGTACTGAGTATTATTTTTGCAAAAATGTCTAAAAACCTGTTTTTGCTTTGTCATTATGGGGTATTGTGTGTAGATTGATGAGGGGGGAAAAAACAATGTATTCCTTTTTAGAATAAGGCTCTAACATAACACAATGTGGAAAAGGTAAAGGGCTCTGAATACTTTCCAAATGCACTGTATGTAGGGAATAGGACGCCATTTGGGCCCTAGTCTCTAGAAGCTCTTCGACCAATGGAAGAGGAGGACGACGTTGCGGACACAGAGACGACAAGACAAGGAGGTGACATCAACATGCACAACCCAGCAGCCACCTGGGGGAGTGACACATGCCACGCCTGAGGAGGCACTACACAGTCCAGGCCCACTCACCAACCGCGAGTTCCTGACAACGTCACGCTCCCTCGGCTATCACAGCAAGAGCATCGCACGAGAAGAGGCATAGGCAAAGGGGGCAAAGGTCAGGGCAAGACAGGAATTAGAAAAGGAAAAATAGGGGTCAAACAAGTGCAAAGAGAGAGAAATAGAGAGAGAGAGCGAAAGAGAGAGAGAGAGAGAGAGAGAGAGAGAGAGAGAGAGAGAGAGAGAGAGAGAGAGAAAGAGAAGCAAATTATGAAATTAGTGTTAAATTAATGCTACAAGATATTACTTAGAAAGTGCATTATTTCCAAAAACAGCTTCAAATCAGTGCTATGGATAGGTTAAGTCAAATCGTGAGACATTCTTAAGCATGTAGTGTATTGTTTGTGGACCACATACTGTATCTCCGCAGGTTTCAACACATGCAAGAAGGTGGTAAAAACAAAACCTATCAGCCCAGGTTGTGTATTACATGTGACTTCAAGTATAGGAAAGATTATAAAATATTTAATGCATCATAATGTTTTTATATACATCATCATGACTGATAAATGATGATAGTATAATGGACTGAAAATTAGGATGGGAAAAGGGACAGAAGGAAAGGAGAGGTCGGGAAGGAAGGTTGGATAGGTTGTAGCAGAAGCAGAGGTCCTTCTCCTTCCAGTCAGAGGGCAAAGGTCATAGGGACTCACCAGTGTCTCTCCAGAGAGCACTTCCAGCAGGGAGATGAGGTTGTGTCCATCTCGGAGGTCCTCGTACAGGTCAGTGATATGCCGCTGGGCCTGGGGAGGGGAGAGGTCAAGAGAGATGATTCACAGAGATACACAATGGATTCATTATGACTCAATGCACTTGAAGTTAAGGTGTTTTCTCTGTTTTCTATAAACTGATCAGCTGTGAGGAATGAATTATATTTATGTACTGTAAATACTCATGATCTAACAAGACCAGTGCTTAGAAAAGCTATGTTTGTGAAGGAACAACACTGTTCTTGACAATATAATCTGGGATTAGGGGTCAATTTTTGATAATAACAAGCCTTTTGCTATTTCTAACAATCCTTCTGGCTAAATCACCCTTGCAATCACTATTTTGACAGACTGGAGTCACCATTGTATTTGAAACTAAAGAAACCTCTAATGCAATAGTATCTCTGTCAGTATCTCTTGATTGTATTCATACTTCACTACTCACACACAGCAAAATCATCAAACCAAAAAACCAAACAACAAAGTGTTTGTCTGAGAATCTTAAGATGCATTGCTTAGATGAGTGACCTGAATGGTTTACTTCAATAATTTTGAATTACAGATTTGTAAAACTACTTGTACACAAAGTCGATCCTCTTATCCCAATTTGATATAAAACAATAGCAAAGCAATTTATAAAAAGGGTCACACAATGAGTGATATATGACTGTCCCATGCCTCCTGCAGTAGCAATTACAGTGACTTTGTTCAACGTCAAACGTTTCAATGTCTCTTGAGAGTTAATTTGATAATAGGATATATTTCATATGGCTCCAAATTAAATAGCCTAAGCAATTTACAGATTGGTTTGATGGGACATGCTCTGATCGGACACTTTTCTCTGCAGAGAGGCTGAAGCAGCGATTACCTTAGAACATTAAGAGAGGATGGAAAGAGTGTCACGTTCGTTCATGAACGGGTCAGACCAAGGCGCAGCGTGATATGCATACATGTTTATTAGACTTATAAACACAACGACAAAACAAGAAACGAAATGTGAAGTCCAAGGTACACAAACAACATACCTAACACGGAACAAGATCCCACAACCCACTAGTGCCAATAGGCTGCCTAAGTATGGTCCCCAATCAGAGACAACGAGCGACAGCTGCCTCTGATTGGGAACCACACCGGCCAACATAGATCTAGACAAACTAGAATATACAACATAGACAATCACAACATAGAAAATCACACCCTGACTCAACAAATAAGAGTCCCCAGTGTCAGGGCGTGACAGTACCCCCCCCCCCCCCCCCCCCCCCCCCCAAAGGTGCGGACTCCGACCGCACAACCTTTACTTAACAGGGTAGGGGCCGAGTGGGCATTCCGCCTCGGAGGCGGATCCGGCTCTGGGCGGTTCCACCACCTATTCTCCGCCTCCCTGTTGCGCCCCTGGTCTGGTCTGGACCTCGGCGCTCTGCTTCCCCTCTCCTTCCTCCCACTATACTCCAAGCCCTGTCTGGACCCTGGTGTGGGAGACCCCGAACCTGGAAAGGGGCTGACGTCTGGGTCTGGACTGGAGCCGCTGACCGGAGCTGGACCGGGCACCGGTGGAGCGGACTGCTCTGGCTCCGGACTGGAGCAGCTTACCGGAGCTGGATCAGGCACTGGTGGAGCGGACTGCTCTGGCTCCGGACTGGAGCTGCTGACTGGTGCCGGACCAGGCACCGGTGGAACGGGCATGGGCCGTGCCGGACTGGACACACTCACCACTGGTCTGGTGCGAGGAGCAGGCACAGGCCGAACCGGACTAGGAACATGCACCACTGGCTTGGTGCGAGGAGCAGGAACAGGCCAGGCCGGACTGGCGACACGCACCACTGGCTTGCTGCGAGGGACAGGAACAGGCCGGACCGGGCTGGCGACGCGCACCACTGGCTTGGTGCGAGGGGCAGGAACAGGCCGGGCCGGGCTGGCGACTCGCACCACTGGCTTGGTGCGAGGGGCAGGAACGGGCCGGGATGGCGACGCGCACCGCTGGCTTGGTGCGAGGGACAGGAACAGGCCGGACCGGGCTGGCAACGCGCACCACTGGCTTGGTGCGAGGGGCAGGAACAGGCCGGGCCGGGCTGGCGACGCGCACCACTGGCTTGGTGCAAGGAGCAGGAACGGGCCGGACCGGACTGCGAAGGCGGACTGGAGGTCTGGAGCGGAGAGCTGGCACAACCCGTCCTGGCTGGCTACCCACATTCGCACTACACGTGCGGGGCGGTGGCACAGGACACACTGGGCTGTATACGCGTACTGGCGATACAGTACGTAAACCGGCGTAGGATATGCGGGACCGAGGAGGCGTACTGGAGACCAGGAGCGTTGAGCCGGCACACCCAATCCTGGCTGGATGCCCATCTTCGCACGGCACGTGCGTGGTGCTAGCACAGGAGTACGGGGAGATGGCTCTGCTCTAACGCTAGGCTCCGCCAACCACCCTTTTAGCCCCCCCAAAAATAATGATTGGTGCTGTCTCTCGGGCTTCCTCCTCGACCGGCGTCCTCTGTGTTGCCGTTGCTCCTCTCCTGCCTGGGCATCTACCTTCGCCCATGGCCCTTTCCCCGCGAATATCTCCTCCCATGACCACAATTTGCCCATCTGTGACATGGCAATTCGCTCTTCCTGGGCACGCTGCTTGGTCCTTGTTTGGTGGGATCTTCTGTCACGTTCGTTCATGAACGGGTCAGACCAAGGCGCAGCGTGATATGCATACATGTTCATTAGACTTATAAACACAACAACAAAACAAGAAACGAAACGTGAAGTCCAAGGTACACAAACAACATACCTAACACGGAACAAGATCCCACAACCCACTAGTGCCAATAGGCTGCCTAAGTATGGTCCCCAATCAGAGACAACGAGCGACAGCTGCCTCTGATTGGGAACCACACCGGCCAACATAGATCTAGACAAACTAGAATATACAACATGGACAATCACAACATAGAAAATCACACCCTGACTCAATAAATAAGATTCCCCAGAGTCAGGGCATGACAAAGAGACTCAGACAGGACAGAGGTTAGAAATGTAGGTGCCCGGCTAGAACGCCTGAGGAGAGGAGCAGCAAAAGAAACCCATGCAGAAATGAATGCGTGTCCACTCAGCACTCTGCACAGGCCTGCTCACAGACTGTCTGCACCTACCTCTGCTCTCCAATGCTGATGGAAGGATGGAAAGACAGGATGAGGAATGGCAGAGAGGAAAGAAGAACGAGCATGATAAGTACATACACCCCTATGCCTTTTTGTGAGGGGTGAAGCAAGAGAAAGGACAGAAAAACAAAAAGGTGGACATTTATTTGACTGACAGTTTGTAAAAAAGACTGTGAGACTGTTTGGGTAAAATAAACATCACTGTCTTGCATTGCTGAATGCTTTGTCAGATTTAAATTAATGTACTGAACAAACAGTACATCTATACTTCTCCATAGTGAAAAAGACCATAGGAGCAGTGAAATGTCCCACTGGATTTTGCTGGACCCCAGGAAGAGTAGCTGCTGCCTTGGCAGCAGCTAATGGGGATCCATAATAAATACAAATACAAAGCCCTGACCCACACATGCCCACTAGATCCACATGTGAGGGATTTCCTTTACAATGGAGTACCAACTCAAGACAAAACCTGAGTCACACACTTTTTTGGTTACTACATGATTCCATATGTGTTATTTCATAGTTTTGATGTCTTCACTATCATTCTACAATGCAGAAAATAGTAAAAATAAAGAAAAACCCTTGAATGAGTTGGTGTGTCCAAACTTTTGACTGGTACTGTAGGTCCTGGATGGCAGGAAGTTTGGCCCCAGTGATGTACTGGGCTGTACGCATTACCCTCTGTAGCGCCTTACGGTTGGATGCCGAGCAGTTACCATACCAGGCGGTGTGACAACCAGTCTGGATGCCCTCGATGGTGCAGCTGTATAACTTTTTGAGGATCTGGGGACTCATGCCAAATCTTTTCAGTCTCCTGAGGGGGAAAAGGCATTGTCGTGCCCTCTTCACGACTTTCTTGGTCATCACCTCCACCCTGGTGCTCTCTCTCTCAGTCTGGCCACTCCAGGGCTAGGTCCCAAATGGCCAGTGTTAGGGAAGCTACTCTGAAAATATACCAATTACTTCACACTGGAAGAAGTTAAGCTACACTAAAGCTACCTCTATGAAAAATATAGTTTACTTAACCCCATAGAGTTTATTGACGCACCGGTGCCTCAATCTAAGTAACATAATAAAAAAAGCCCAAACAAAATCCATCAGTTTAAGCTAGAGATATCTTTTTGCATTGGATCCATCTTAATCCACCGCATCCGCCGATGTCGCACTTCAACATCTGCGGTGAAAAGTGGCAGAGCTAGAGCGGTGTTTGTCAGACCATGAGATATCATGAAAATCGGTCTTCTCATGAAAACGTCTGTAGCGTCCGAATGTTTGACCTACAAACTAATATGACCCCAATGTGGAAAGAGGAGATGGAACACGATGGTGTTCTCCGCTTTGCTCTACGACCCCCACAAGTGTCACGTGACTTGTCTGAAGGTAACCGGTACCGGTTTTAAAAAATGAATGGAAGTATGAAGGTAGATTTGTGCCTACCCAAAAAAGGGGTTAAATATGTGTACAAAAAATACTATATATTTCCTGAGCTTTCTTATATCTCATAAATGTAGGACAAACACTTAAAAACCTTGTTTCTTATGATTTATTTTTTGACTGTCTTTTTTTTTGCCATTTATGAATGTGTTATTTAGTGTGTTTCTCTGGGCTTCAGTAGTAAATGTCAAATTCAATATTTTATCAAATATATATTCTTTTTTTTTCTTCCTATAATTCTAAATCAAATAGATAAATGATCCATAGTATGACCATCTTTAAACAATTCCATATGTCAGCTTTTTCTTCTTTTTGCTAAAAAAGTTGTGTGTAGTTCCAGTAGTTAGCTAGGAATGGAGCGATTTCAGTGCCAACAGAAATTGTATTTGAATTCCACAATTTTAAATTTCTATTAGGATATTGAATTTGAATATAATATTTTTGAATTTGTAATGCACACATTTAATCATTGAATTCATAAATTTAACTTGTATTTCATGATTTGAAACTGAATTGAGTGAATTTTGCATTCAATTTTCTAATTGAATTGAATTGAATATTCAAGTTCAATATTTATATATTCAGTTTCAATATGGTAGATATTGCATACATTGTCTGTGTATCAAGTTTACAAACTACAATTTCAAGTTTATCAAAGTTTCATATATTCAACTTCTCAGATGCATCCAGAATCAGTTTTCAAATTCAGTTCTCTAAATTCAGATTCAAAACCAGAGACAACATCATGATACTTTGCCAGCCAGACAAAACGGTAGATGAGAACAGATAGAATCACTTTTGTCAAGAGAAGCTTATGGCGGTTTCTGAAGCCAATGTGGCATGTTTAATTTATTTTCTTCTTATGAATTTGGCTTTAGCATTTGAACCGTTTTGGCTATAAGCTATTATGACCCCATTCCTGAAAGCTAAGACGCTCTGGAATATGGTTGTGCATTCTGTTCCCCACTACGATGATCACAGGCCACGTTAGAATGGAGTGTCACAAATAGCCTTGTCATAGCCCTTCTAAGGTTAGCCATTCCACTCTCTATTTAATATTGCTCTTGTGACTGACTGGGTTCGAAGTAGATATCTGATTCCTGTCACAAGAATGTGTTAGTAGAGCTGGGAAGATTATTGACACAGACCATATTGTTCACTTATCGCAGGCATTTTGCTGATATCTTCATTACGATAAGTAGCCTATACTAGAGAAATGTTTAGTTTGAAATGAAATCAGTTTTCTAATATGGCTGATTGTTAATGGGACAATTGATGGCTACAGCCATCAAACTAGTAGTAGTAGTTTAAAGGATAATAAATAAAACAGTGGTGCACATGAATGTTATTAACTTATCGTCATATTTATTGTTATCGCATCAATTCAGGCAATTGTTGAACCAGCGCAACTGTAGATCGGAGTCCAGTGGCACCATTGTAAAGGATGTCACGCTGCCTGCTTAGCAAGTACTGCTTCACCCTGATTCAGCTCATATTGAGACTCAAACTCAGGACTTCTGCCTCGAAAACACACGTGTGTTAGACGTATTAGTCTCTGGGAAGGGTAGTCATTATAAGGTTAACATGTGTCTGACAGGTTTAAGACTGTGTTAGCCTGTTGAGCTAAAGCCTAGGCATTGGTCCTGTGACTTGGATGGGTCTCTTCAAGGAGGAGGTCAAAGGGGGGTGAAGTGTAACACAGGTGGTTCGGTAACCATGCTCGTGTGATGAGAAACTTGTCTGAGACCTGAAAAGTTGCATTGTCTGGCAGACCGGTATACAGGACACCTGGGTTAGAACCAATGTTCCCTCTAAACTGCAAGCGCATTAGCCCAAGACTGCCAAGCAGCTCCCCGGGACTACTGCATCGAGCGCAGAATAAATATCAGCCCACAGAGAAAAACATGAGATTGAACTTCACTCAACTTCTAGAGTTTTTCCTGTTAGTTAACACTATCAACGTTTCCCTTTACTGTGGCAATTGTGATCAATTGTGATCTACCATATTGAAATTGAATATACTGTATAAATATTGCATTTTAATATTCAAATAATTTGAAATTGAATATTAAAACGTAATGCAATATTCACTCAATTCAGTTTCAAATCATGAAATACAAGTTCAATTTATGAATTAAATTATTCAATTTGTGCATTACAAATTCAAAAAGATTCAATTTCATTTCAATATCCTAATACAAAATGTATAATTATGGAATTCAAATACAATTTCTGTTGGCACTGAAATCGCTCCATAGGCTACCCCGCTACATGGGGAAAAAAAAGTAATCAGCTACTGAAAACACTACCTTGATTTGAATTTAGTTCAACTACCACCAAGCTACTGCCAAATGTAGTTAAATTACTACCCAACACTGCAAATCTTACATTAGAGCCCCAGAAAGCCAGACTGTCTGTGGGCCAGGTGTCTGTGGAACATGACCATTGCCCAAAACTCCAGCCCTCCTCGCTCTCCTTTATAAAACTAAAGCGAGACCAGATGCTTGTGACTTACTCTCACACAAAGCACAGAAATAGCATGTGTGTACTGCCATTGTGCTGAGAATGAAATCAAAACTGGTATAAAAATATATGTTTTCAGCACAAGTAGTCCTAATCATATTTGGGAGACTATGTGAGTCACAATGGAACTATACGGTGCAAATCCATATTTGCCAGTAAAAGTACAGTGGTTTTCCAAGTCCTTTTTATGCAAACCAAGCTTCCGTTGAGTAATATCAGATGATTCATACTACTAAGGCAACACCACAGGCCTGTGTTTTCCTTTTCTTACCATTGACACTTGAACTTCAACAACAGGCAGTACCACAGAGAAATGGCTGCAGCAATTAGGCCATTGGCATCGTTATATCATTATGGTACTGTCTGTTCTGGGTTGAGTGAACCAAGATGACCCAAGAAACATGCTGTAATTGCAGTAATGAAATAAAAAACCTATTTACTGCTCACATGATCAATTGAAGCCTTTTTAAAAGCTTTTGGTCAACAGTTTGCCAAGAGGCAGAGAGCATGCATCATCAAGAATATTTGCACCACGTGCCCTCAAGTGGCACCCTATTTCCTACATAGTGCACTACTTTTGACCAGGGCCCTATTCCACTATATAGGGAATAGGGTGCTGTTTGGGATGCACCCACTATCTTTACCATGTAATGAATAAACCTTCTCTAACGTTTTATCAGTATAACCAATTCCAGTTGACCATCTAATGTATCTATCCAGATCAGATCCATAGAGCACAGATAATGGCTTAATTCTGAGTTGTTTCCTCAATGAGACTCTAAACTGGTACATTGTCCTGTGAATCACATAGATATGTACAGTATGTGTACTGCAATGTTATAACTTCCTTGCAGCTGCTTTTCTGTAAAACTAGGTGAATTGTGGACCCCTATAAAATACACGGATGAGATGATCACATTGAGTGGTTCAGAGGAGCTGAGGGATGAGCTCAAGGTATATGCCCTCATCTTACCTTCATCAAGTGTTTGTTGACCCATTTTGTGAAGGTCTTTTTCTGTACCCGGTCCCGTTCATCTATGGGATAGAGAGAAAGTGATGGTCAATATCAACAGCATGCAGACACTCAACTTCAACTAAGAGACCAAGAGTTATATAGATATAGAATTCTGGGGTGTTTGAGGTAATGTCTATGGGGATCACAAACGTGTGAATAGTTCATACAGTCCATAAAACATTTGTCCCAAGTGCTGGATCAGAGAGGGTAATATGTTATTTTTTTATTTTTTTAATCTGACAGTGCCTTGGCAACACACACACTGTATATACAAAAGTTTGTGGATACCCCTTCAAATTAGTGGATTTGGCTATTTCAGCCACACCTGTTGCTGACAGGTGTATAATATTTAGCACACGGCCATGCAATCTCCTTAGACAAACATTGGCAGTAGAATGGCCTTACTGAAGAGCTCAGTGACTTTCAACGTGGCACCGTCATAGGACGCCACCATTCCAACAAGTCAGTTCATCAAATTTCTGTCCAACTGTAAGTGCTGTTATTGTAAAGTGGAAACGTTTAGGAGCAACAACGGCTCAGCCGCGAAGTGGTAGGCCACACAAGCTCACAGAACGGGCCGCCGAGTGCTGAAGCGCAAGCCTAAGATCACCATGCGCAATGCTAAGCGTCGGCTGGAGTAGTGTAAAGCTTGCCGCCATTGGACTCTGGAGCAATGGAAACGTGTTATCTGGAGTGATGAATCACGCTTCATCATTTGGCAGTCAGATGGACGAATCTGGGTTTGGCGGATGCCAGGAGAACGCTACCTACCCCAATGCATAGTGCCAACTGTAAAGTTTGGTGGAGGAGGAATAATGGTCTGGGGCTGTTTTTCATGGTTCGGGCTAGGCCCCTTTCAGTGAAGGGAAATCTTAACTCTACAGCATACAATGACATTCTAGACGATTCTGTGCTTCCAACTTTGTGGCAACAGTTTGGGGAAGGCCCTTTTCTGTTTCAGCATGACAATGCCCCCGTGCACAAAGCGAGGTCCATACAGAAATGGTTTGTCGAGATCGGTGTAGAAGAAATTGACTGGCATGCACAGAGCCCTGACCTCAACCCCTTCGACACCATTGGGATTAATTGGAACACCGATTGCGAGCCAGGCCTAATCGCCCAACATCACTGCCCGATCTCACTAATGCGCTTGTGGCTGAATGGAAGCAAGTCCCCATAGCAACGTTCCAACATCTAGTGGAAAGCCTTCCCAGAAGAGTGGAGGATGTTATTTACATTTACATTTTAGTCATTTAGCAGACGCTCTTATCCAGAGCGACTTACAGTTTTAGTGAGTGCATACATTTTTCATACTGGCCCCCCGTGGGAATCGAACCCAAAACCCTGGCGTTGCAAGCACCATGCTCTACCAACTGAGCTACAGGAGGCCAACTGAGCTACAGTTATAGCAGCAAAGGGGGGACCAACTCCATTTTAATGCCTATAATTCTGAAATTATATGTTTGACGAGCAGGTTTCCACATACTTTTGGTCATGTAATGTATGAGGAGTGAGGGGGAGTACCTTACAGTGTTACCATTTGTTGCTCAACTGGGGAAGAGCAATCAGCATAAATGAACATGTTCCACCTTGTAATACTGTTCTCAGGTCTGTTTTTGATTCCACCGTGTGACTACTAAGTCTAGAGGTCTGTCAACGCATGTCTGATTATGGGGAACAGTGAAAACTGTCCTGCTATCACACTCCACATCTACCAGCAGCAGGTGTGAGTTGTGCAATGTTTTCCACACAGTCTAACAACCAGGAACCTGATCCAAGCCTGGCAAGACCAACACCAAGGCAACCCAATTCTCACTTCCCTATTCAGTCTCATTCTGTACAGTAGTTTAACGAAGCATTAAGATAACAACATATAGCCGGCTACTGTATTATCAAAGCTTGAAATATAGAGACGGTTTAAGAGAGTGAGAATTGAGTACAGTTAATCTGTATCAAAGCAAAGCCTAGCATGGGAGTTGAAGCTGTGATTAATTAATAAGCCGTCTGTGACTTGAGAAATACAGTTTGATTTCATCCTCAGGAGAAGCTCTTAGATCAAAGCAGATCTCGTGCGACAATGAGAAAGAACAGAACAATGTCAGGGGAGTAATGGGGCAGGGCAACAGAGGAGAGGATGTGCCAAATCCCTTTACTGGTACTGCCTGTGACTCACACACGCATGGTGTCTGAAAAACTGTACCAACGCAGAAGTGGCAATGTGTGGTGCCACACACAACCTTTCCTGTCGTGCCAATGCAGCAACCTCATGGTAGGCAGCTGAGTCAAATCCCCCTCAGATATGTTTTCAACAGTAAGGAAGCATCCCAAATGGCACTCTATTCCCTATAGTGCACTACTTTTGACCAGGACCCCATAGGACTGTATAGTGCACTATATAGGGAATAGGGTGCCATTTGCGACAGAGCCTAACAGTCCCCCTGCTGTGTCACTGACTATGATCTACAGAAGCAAAAGTCAAGGGGTACCTGAGACAAACACTTAACATTCAAACCCCAAATACTTCCAGTTCAAAACATCATAATGGGAACTTAAATCCATTTATCCTGATTGTGTTTTTTTTGGTTGTTAAGCTATACAGTCTGGAACACTTTACTCCAAGCCATGGCTATAGCCTTTCATAGTCTGAGATACTGAGACAAGGGTTAGAGTTAAGGGTTAGCCTTTCATCGGCTGAGATACTGAGACAAGGATTAGAGTTAAGGGTTAGCCTTTCATAGTCTGAGATACTGAGACAAGGATTAGAGTTAAGGGTTAGCCTTTCATAGTCTGAGATACTGAGACAAGGGTTAGAGTTAAGGGTTAGCCTTTCATAGTCTGAGATACTGAGACAATGATTAGAGTTAAGGGTTAGCCTTTCATAGGCTGAGATACTGAGACAAGGATTAGAGTTAAGGGTTAGCCTTTCATCGGCTGTGATACTGAGACAAGGATTAGAGTTAAGGGTTAGCCTTTCATAGTCTGAGATACTGAGACAAGGGCTAGAGTTAAGGGTTAGCCTTTCATAGTCTGAGATACTGAGATAAGGGTTAGAATTAAGGGTTAGCCTTTCATAGTCTGAGATACTGAGACAGAGGTTGAGGTGAATTGGAATGTTTTTCTTTATTTTGACATGGAAGTCATACTGAGACTAGGGTGTCTTTTACTGATGAGCCCTGCATAAATACATCAAACACATACAATATACAAAATGACAAAACATATTAAGAAAAACAGACATATTTATCAACATAGAGGTCTCCGATCATTACTCTGAACTGACCTAAGGGGACCAGAACATCTAATTTCAGAGAGCTCTGTAAATTGTTCCACATAAAGGGCGCAAAAAAACTAAAAGCAGCTTCTCTCAAGGTATCCGGTCTCCTACAAAAACCTTCATAGTCTACTCCCACAGTAATATATATATATAGGGCTCTCAAAGACAGAAAGACTGTTTTTTACTGGTCTATTCTCTCAGCAAACATGTATTTAGTTATGGTCCACAACCTTATGTTTTAATTGGCTGTCCTAAAGTAATCTGCAAAAGCAGGGATGGGCAACTTTGATGGGGTGGGGGCCACAAAAAATCTGAACTCATCATGAGGGGACGCAGTTGCACGCGGGTCAGCATACCCACATCCATACCCCACATTGCGAGCAAAACATCTTAGTGGCCCCCCTCTTGACAGCGGAGATAAAAACATTTAACGTTTCAAAGTTAATTTCATGAAGTTATACACATTTTGCCATGGGGTGTAGTGCAAATGTTGCAGTTTTAAAGAAAGTTTGCTGCAATTCTACACATTTTGACATGGGGCTTAGAGAGGATTTTGCCATTTTATAACTAATTTCATGCAATTCTACTCATTTTGCAATGGGGTCGAGAGAAATGTTTGCAATTTTTAATATGATATCTTAGGGAGACTGACTAACAGAATTAATGGGGGCCGCCGGCTGGTTGCACCTTGTGTAGTCTACTATTCTAACTCTCAACAGTAAGTTGAGACCCCGACTGAGTCCCATCCCCCCTCCAATTTTTTTTTATCCGAGGGCCTTCAGTTGCCCATCCCTGAGCTAAAGTAAACTTGAGCCAATAAGGCTGGACAAAACCAGTGAAGCATGAAGGGGTGTGGCCCTTTGCTAGCCATAGCATGGCAGTGCTGTGACAGTAATGGACCATGTCTGGTTTGTATATTTGAATTACATGAAACAAACTAACTTGGCCAAGTTGTTCATAATTACATAGACATAAACGGTCATATCCACCGACAGTTATCGTAGGTGTGACCCTTTGCTGTGTCACTAGCTACGTTTGGATCATTTGGAGTGGTCGGGAGAGGTTGTGTTTTCTCTAGCAGGAGGTAAGCTTGGCTTCTTATATGGTGTTGAGTAAAGCTTAAACCATGTATTTAGATTGTAGGTAGGTAGTTGTAGTTAGGTATTGTAGGTAGTTTATTTAGGTAGTTATTGTAGGTTTTTGTAGGTAATTATTGTAGGTAAGTATTGTATACGGCGGAGCCCGGCGAAGCACGAGGCTAGCTAGCTAGCGGGTAGCTACTGGTAACGTTTAGCAAAGGTGGATAGTTGTTTCCAATGTTATTTCACGCTTAAGAGTACCTGTAATTAAGCCAGCTAGCTACCTACCATTCAGCTGTTTTTCTAACCTCATTATCTGAGGCATCAACGTTAGGTAGTTAGTAGCTACTGTACTTAATTACACCTACTGATTGCAGAAGACAAATGTCTTCTTGTCTGCCACCCAGTCAGCTGGCGTCGGGTAAGTTTGGCTTTATACATAGCTTGGGCTTTGTCGAGTAAGGCTTAATTATGTATTTAGATTGTAGTTAGGTATTGTAGGTAGGCATCGTGGGCTGTTGTGGGTAGTTATTGTAGGTTAGCATTGTATTCGGCGGTGCCGGGTGTAGCACGAAGCTAGCTAGCTAGCCGTTTTTCAAACAAAGTCAACACAGTAGCCATTGCTAGCTAGCCAACACGACCAGCTAACTGTACTGTAGCAGCTAAATACAAAATATTTGTGCTAGCTAGCCAACGTTTAATTATTGCTGCGTTATGAAAGGAACTAGACACGGACATGAATTATCTGTTTAGTGTGTTAACACACTATTGGTAGTTTGTTGTAACCAAGTATTGGTGCTAAACTGTGTGTTATTGGATGCTAGCATGCTAGTTAGCTATGGCGTCATAGTTAGGCATCGTGGGCTGTTGTGGGTAGTTATTGTAGGTTAGCATTTTATTCGGCGGTGCCGGGTGTAGCACGAAGCTAGCTAGCTAGACGTTTTTCAAACAAAGTCAACACAGTAGCCATTGCTAGCTAGCCAACACGACCAGCTAACTGTACTGTAGCAGCTAAATACAATATATTTGTGCTAGCTAGCCAACGTTTAATTATTGCTGCGTTATGAAAGGAACTAGACACGGACACGAATTATCTGTTTAGTGTGTTAACACACTATTGGTAGTTTGTTGTAACCAAGTATTGGTGCTAAACTGTGTGTTATTGGATGCTAGCATGCTAGTTAGCTATGGCGTCATAGTTAGCTAGCTGAATAAAGTAAGTTGAGTCTATTCCTTGAAACATTGAACCGCTGTAGTTCACAACAATTCTAATTTCTAAAGTGGAAGTTGGGAGAGTTTTTATTCGGGTGGTTCAGTGAAACAATTATAGTTTCTGAGGTGGAAGTTTTGGTGAGGGAGGCCCTACTCTCTCCTTTCCCAGATGTTTAGTTCATTTCATTCCGATCTCCTCTGCATTATTGTAGCCATTTGCTACAGCCTGTCAACTATGCCTCTGCCTATCCCTGTTCTCTCTTCTCCGCACAGGCTACACAAACGCCTCACACCGCGTGGCTGCTGCCTCACTAACCTGGTGGTCCCTGCACGCACCCCACACCTGGAGTTCCAGGTCTCAGGCAGCCTCTGGAACTGCCGTTCTGCTGCCAACAAGGCTGACTTCATCCCAGCCTATGCTAACCTCCAGTCCCTCGACTTCCTGGCGCTGACGGAAACATGGATTACCACTGAAAACACTGCTACTCCTACTGCTCTCTCCTCGTCTGACCATGTGTTCTCGCATACCCCGAGAGCATCTGGTCAGAGGGGTGGTGGCACAGGAATCCTCATCTCTCCCAAGTGGACATTCTCAATTTTTCCCCTAACCCATCTGTCTATCTCCTCATTTGAATTCCATGCTGTCACAGTCACTAGCCCATTTAAGCTTAATATCCTTGTCATCTATCGCCCTCCATGTTCCCTTGGAGAGTTCATCAATGAGCTTGACGCCTTGATAAGTTCCTTTCCTGAGGATGGCTCACCCCTCACAGTTTTGGGGGATTTCAACCTCCCTACGTCTACATTTGACTCATTTCTCTCTGCCTCCTTCTTTCCACTCCTCTCCTCTTTTGACCTCACCCTCTCACCATCCCCCCCTACTCACAAGGCAGGCAATACGCTTGACCTCATCTTTACTAGATGCTGCTCTTCTACTAATCTCACTGCAACTCCCCTCCATGTCTCCGACCACTACTTTGTATCCTTTTCTCTCTCGCTCTCCTCCAACACTACTCACTCTGCCCCTACACAGATGGTAATGCGCCGCCGCAACCTTCGCTCTCTCTCTCCCACTACTCTCTCCTCTTCCATCCTATCATCTCTTCCCTCTGCTCAATCCTTCTCCCTCCAATCTCCTGATTCTGCCTCCTCAACCCTCCTCTCCTCCCTTTCTGCATCCTTTGACTCTCTGTGTCCCCTATCCTCCCGGCCGGCTCGGTCCTCCCCTCCAGCTCCGTGGCTTGATGACTCATTGCGAGCTCACAGAACAGAGCTCCGGGCAGCGGAGCGGAAATGGAAGAAAACTAAACTCCCTGCCGACCTGGCATCTTTTCACTCCCTCCTCTCTACATTTTCTTCATCTGTTTCTGCTGCTAAGGCCACTTTCTACCACTCTAAATTCCAAGCATCTGCCTCTAACCCTAGGAAGCTCTTTGCCACATTCTCCTCCCTGCTGAATCCCCCCCCCCCCCCCCCCCCCCCCCCCCCCTCTCTCTCTCTGTGGATGACTTCGTCAACCACTTTGAAAAGAAGGTTGACGACATCCGATCCTCGTTTGTTAAGTCTAATGACACTGCTGGTCCTGCTCACACTGCCCTACCCTATGCTTTGACTTCTTTCTCCCCTCTCTCTCCAGATAAAATCCTGCGACTTGTGACTGCAGGCCGCCCAACAACCTGCCCGCTTGACCCCATCCCCTCCTCTCTTCTCCAGACCATCTCCGGTGACCTTCTCCCCTACCTCACCTCGCTGATAAACTCATCCTTGACCGCTGGCTATGTCCCTTCCGTCTTCAAGAGAGCGAGAGTTGCACCCCTTCTCAAAAAACCAACACTCGATCCCACTGATGTCAACAACTACAGACCAGTATCCCTTCTTTCTTTTCTTTCCAAAACTATTGAGCGTGCCGTCTTTAGCCAACTCTCTTGCTATCTCTCTCAGAATGACCTTCTTGATCCAAACCAGTCAGGTTTCAGGACTGGTCATTCAACTGAGACTGCTCTTCTCTGTGTCACGGAGGCTCTCCGCACTGCTAAAGCTAACTCTCTCTCCTCTGCTCTTGTCCTTCTAGACCTGTCTGCTGCCTTTGATACTGTGAACCATCAGATCCTCCTCTCCACCCTCTCTCCGAGCTGGGCATCTCCGGCGCGGCTCACTCCTGGATTGCGTCCTACCTGACCGGTCGCTCCTACCAAGTGGCGTGGCGAGAAGCTGTCTCCGCACCACGTGCTCTCACCACTGGTGTCCCCCAGGGCTCAGTTCTAGGCCCTCTCCTATTCTCCCTATACACCAAGTCACTTGGCTCTGTCATATCCTCACATGGCCTCTCCTAACATTGCTACGCTGACGATACACAACTAATCTTCTCCTTTCCCCCTTCTGATAACCAGGTGGCGAATCGCATCTCTGCATGTCTGGCAGACATATCAGTATGGATGACGGATCACCACCTCAAGCTGAACCCTGGCAAGACGGAGCTGCTCTTCCTCCCGGGGAAGGACTGCCCGTTCCATGATCTCGCCATCACGGTTGACAACTCCGTTGTGTCCTCCTCCCAGAGTGCGAAGAGCCTTGGCGTGACCCTGGACAACACTCTGTCGTTCTCCGCTAACATCAAGGCGGTGACCCGATCCTGCAGGTTCATGCTCTACAACATTCGGAGAGTACGACCCTGCCTTACACAGGAAGCGGCACAGGTCCTAATCCAGGCACTTGTCATCTCCCGTCTGGATTACTGCAACTCGCTGTTGGCTGGGCTCCCTGCCTGTGCCATTAAACCCCTACAACTCATCCAGAATGCCGCAGCCCGTCTGGTGTTCAACCTTCCCAAGTTCTCTCACGTCACCCCGCTCCTCCGCAAACTCCACTGGCTTCCAGTTGAAGCTCGCATCTGTTACAAGACCATGGTGCTTGCCTATGGAGCTGTGAGGGGATCGGCACCTCTGTACCTTCAGGCTCTGATCAGTCCCTACACCCAAACGAGGGCATTGCGTTCATCCACCTCTGGCCTGCTGGCTCCCCTTCCTCTGCGGAAGCATAGTTCCCGCTCAGCCCAGTCAAAACTGTTCGCTGCTCTGGCACCCCAATGGTGGAACAAGCTCCCTCACGACGCCAGGACAGCGGAGTCACTCACCACCTTCCGGAGACATTTTAAACACCACCTCTTTAAGGAATACCTGGGATAGGATAAAGTAATCCTTCTACCCCCCCCCCAAAAAAAAAAAAAAAAAAAAACATATTGTAAAGTGGTTATCCCACTGGCTATAAGGTGAATGCACCAATTTGTAAGTTGCTCTGGATAAGAGCGTCTGCTAAATGACGTAAATGTAAATGTAAATGTAGGTAATCGCTTGCAAATTCAAACTAACAAGAGGAAGCTAAATATTGAGTCATACTTTATAGAGGAAATCATAACTATGGAAAATACATCAGTTACTCAATCAAATAAAAGCTAAATAAAAGTTAGACAGATGAAACCAAGCAAAGGTCTTTCTATCAGACTATTTTTGAGAACATTGAAAATTCCAACTAGACTAGTGAAAACCATAGGACACCATAATAACTCTACCTTTCCTTCCATCGGTGGCCTTGAGCATCCCCTGGTAGTAGTATCCCTCAGTGAAGTCACTTCCCACACTGTCATTGGAGTAGGTTCTGTACACTGGCTCCATTGACATCCCACTGTCAGTTAGGTGCAGTTAACGCAGAGAAATAACAGTAACCGATGCAGTTTGTAAGGTTAGTCTGCCTAGTCTCTAAGACTTCTGCTTCTCCTTATTGCTCAAAACACTGCTTCATGAAGAGCGCAGCAAGAGCATGTAGTCAAGTGGGTGTGTTTCCGATCAAGTCTGTGATGCTATTACTGCACAAGCCTTCTCTCCCCTTTTCCCTCTCTTGCTCTTGCAAAATGCCTGCCTGCAGGCCAGTGGTGGAAAAAGTACCCAATAAAAGTAAAGATACCTTAATAGAAAATGACCTAAGTAAAAGTGAAAGTCACCCAGTAAAATACTACTTGAGTAAAAGTGTATAAGTATTTGGTTTTAAATATACTTAAGTATCAAAAGTAAATGTAATTGCTCAAATATACTTAAGTATCAAAACCAGACGGCACAATGTTCTTGTTTTTTTTATTTATCGATAGCCAGGGGCACACTCCAACACAGATATAATTTACAAATGAAGAATTTGTGTTTAGTGAATCCACCAGATCAGAGGCAGTGGGGATGACCAGGGATGTTCTCTTGATAAGTGTGTGAATTGGACCATTTTCCTGTCCTGCTAAGCATTCAAAATGTAATGAGTACTTTTGGGTGTCAGGGAAAATGTATGGAGTAAAAAGTACATTATTTTCTTTAGGAATGTAATGAAGTAAAATAAAAGTTTTCAAAAATATAAATAGTAAAGTCAAGTACAGATACTACAAAAAACTACTTAATTAGTACTTTAAATAATTTTTTACTTAAGTACTTTACACCACTGCTGCAGGCGACAATGTCAGGGCCTGTCATTTACTGCTCTGTGTTGTGTGCACCGCAAGTGAACATCCCGTCTCCTTCCAGCCAAGCCCACCCTGGCCAAACCTCAGCCTATCCCCTTCCTGAGGGGGAGAGATGGTGGAACAGATAAGGAGGCTGACAGCTAGACAGGTTTACTAGGGAAAAATACAGAACCACAGAAGGTTTTACCTTGGAAGAAATGTTGTTATTAAAAGTGCCATAGAAATAATTGAAAAGGTTTCGTATCCATACACAATTTTCATGAGAAAAAGTGTGTCACGCCTACTCCTGCTTCCTCCCTCCGGCGCTCGACGTCGCCAGTCTACTAACCCCTGGTCCTGGCAACCCACATTGTGCACACCTGGCAAACATGATTGCCCACACCTGTTCCCATCGTTAAGCACACCTGGACTTCATCACCACCCTGATTACTCTCCCTTCATATAGCCCTCACCAACCTCAGTCATCAGGCAGTATTGGTTCTGTTTTCATTTCCAGATGCATCGCTTGTTTTGTAACGTGCCATGTTTGTTATTATTAAACTCACCATCTGCGCCTGCTTCCTGACTCCCTGTTGTTCCACGTCGGTGGAGGGTCCTGTGAGTGTCCTCTAGCCCATCAAGCGGTCCTCGTTGGCCCGGTGTTTTGGGACGTAGATGTGGACATCTAAGTCCCCACGGGGGTGAGAGATCGGCTGTTGACCTGGGTACACATCCCCTCGCCGCTGGACACCCAGGTATCACCCGCACCATCTAATCCCTCTCCGATAAATACTGGTGGCCCACCTTGGCGAAGGACGTCGCCCACTATGTCAACTCATGTTCGGTATGTACTCAATCCAAATCTCCCCGGCACGCTCCAGCAGGTAAACTACTTCCCCTTCCCATGCCTCAGCGGCCTTGGTCACATCTGTCCATAGACTTTGTAACGGATCTCCCCCTTTCTGATGGTTTTACCACTATTCTGGTTGTTGACAGATTCTCAAAATCCTGCTGTTTTATTCCTCTCTCTGGTCTATCTACCGCTCTCCAGGTTGCTGAGGCACTATTCCAGCAGGTCTTCCAGGCACTATGGCCTTCCGGAGGACATCGTTTCCGACCGTGGTCCCCAATTCACGTCAGGTCTGGAAAACATTTATGGAGAAGCTGGGGGCCACGGTCAGCTTCACATCCGGGTACCGGCCTCAGTCCAACGGGCTGGTGGAGAGGACCAACCAAGAGCTGGGGAGGTTCCTAAGGAGTCACTGCCTGGACCGGCAGGGGGAGTGGGCCCGGTTCCTTCCCTGGACAGAATATGCTCAGAACTCACTTCGTCACTCCTCCACCGGGCTGACTCCCTTCCAATGCGTCCTGGGATATCAACCGGCCTTGGCTCCCTGGACTCTGTGCCAGACCGAGGCCCCTGCAGTTGACGAGCGGTCCGGCGCGCAGAGGAGGTGTGGATTGTTGCCTACGTGAGGCTCCAGCGCACCGTCCTCCATCAGAAGGATCAGGCGGACCGCCACCGCAGTGAGGCTCACATGTTCCATCCTGGTGATCCCGTCTGGCCTTCCACCAGGAACCTCCCGTTCTGCCTGCCCTGCCCTACTCCTGCTCCCTCCGGCGCTCGCCGTCGCCGGTCTACTAACCACTGGTCCTGGCAACCCACATTGCGCACACATGGCAACCATCATTGCACACACCTGCTGCCCATCGTTAAGCACACCTGGACTTCATCACCACCCTGATTACTCTACCTTCATATAGCCCTCACCAATCTCAGTCATCAGGCAGTATTGGTTCTGTTTTCATTTCCAGACGCTTCTCTTGTTTTGTAACTCTCCATGTTCGTTATTCTAATGTTCCCTCGTTAGATTTGAGCTCATCTCGTGCTAGCATTAGTTATTGATCTTGTTGTTGTTGATGTGCATAGGCAACCGAGGAAAAGATAGCCTACCTTTTCATGGTTGTTTGATCAACGTAAAAATGTATGCACGCATGATTGTAAGTCGCTTTGGATAAAAGCGTCTGCTAAATGGCATATTATATTATAATAGGACTGTGAAGTTCCCAAATGTAAGAGGACTCCCGTGGTATTTAAATATTTGCAGAAATCCATTCAGGTGTATTTTGTGGCTTTTGGCGAATGAGTTCTAACGATCTAAAGTCGCACTGTAGCTACTGCCTGTAAACACACAGTCCAGTTCAAAGCGAATGATGGAATGCCCATGTGGCAAATGGCTTATTTGCATATAGGCCTAATGCAGCTCTGATTGGCTATGGAGCACCGGTCTGCATAGACTCCGGTCTTGGACAAGAAAGATGTTTATTTAGGTTTTATTTGCTGCAGTGTCTATTAATTATCCAAACGCATGGCCGCTTTCCCACTCTATATTACTATAGAATTTTCACAAATGCCTTACTATACTGTACATCATTCCCAAACATTCTATTAATTTATGAAAACGTGAAAATTACCATATCTAAGTGCTCACTTTTTTTTTTTAAGTGTCATTCTTCCTGGGGGTTTATATGCTAAAATGCTGTCAGTTCCACTTTAAAGGGATACTTCGGGATGATCTACTTCCCCAGAGTCAGATGAACTCGTGGATATCAATTTTATGTGTCTGTGTGCAGTTTGAAGGAAGTTGCTAACTAGCGCAAGTGCTAACTAGTGTTAGTGCAATGACTGGAAGTCTATGGGTATCTGATATACTAGCAGATACCCATAGACTTCCAGTCATTGTGCTAACACTCGCAAAACTACCTCTAACTTTCTTAATATTAGACACAAAGACGAGTTCATCTGACTCTGGGGTAGATAAAGGGACTCATTGCCAAAATCCCGAAGTATCCCTTTGATAGTTTCAGTAGACTATATGGATGCAGATACTGGTGTGCTTCACCTGCAACACAGTGTCTTCTGCTTCAATCCTATTCCAATGACAAACTTTCACAGGACAGCCAAAAGGGCATTTCATTTTCCAAGTTTGCAAACAGGAGAAGTAAAACAGTAAACAGTCCCAAAAATTTTTTAAATACATAAACCTAGTTGAGTGGACATCCCCTCCTCTTTCTCATGTTGGAAAAGTTTAGCCATACAACCATACAGTAAAGGTCCACTAGAATCTGCTGTAGCCTCTTAGGGCTCCACCTGTTCTGGCCAGTGATTCCAAGTGTGTGGTGACAGAGAGAGGAAGAATGTACATGCAACTAAAACCACCACAGCCAGCCCACACTGAATGAAAGGCCTGTATTATAGCAGACCAGACCAGACGAGGGGGTATGGTACAAGGCAATAGAAATGAGTCATCAGCCATTCCACCACATGGCACAATCACAAGGGAACCCTTTATTACGAACCATTTGTTTCCATCAGCACTCAATTAGAGGGAAACCTCCACCAATAAGTGTTTCCATACAGTGTACTGTACACTGCCAGTACACTGTCCCAAATAGCACCCTATTCCCTATATAGTGCTTTTGACTAGAGCTCAGGGAATAGGGAGCCATGGGACGCAGCCATAGACAGGAGCTAATTAATCAGTTGTAGACAGATACAAAGTGCTGATCAGTTTCCATGTTTGACTGGAGTGGTTATTGTTTTGATATGTTTTTCCAAAATGATTTCACATCTAGTACATTTAGAAGAGCTTTGTTTGGTGTTGCAGAGCCTGGTCTATGAAAGGATGAAGAAGAGAGAGAGACAGAGGCCAAAATAATTTGGCTTGCCAAACTAACCACACTGTTGTAAAAAAACAGGGAATCCATTGTGTCTGAACTTAATGGAGGACAACAAAACAAGACTGATTTGGTGCTGTGAGTGTGTCTCACTTGATAAAAAACATTCCATATGTCCATAAAAAAATGTGGGGGGGGGGTCAAGGTCATAGCACAAGTCCCTTCAAAGGTCTCCACAGGTGTGTTACATAGCACCCAAATACCTCTTACACCTTTAACCCTCGAGATCATACATCTTTCACTTTCAAAGCGGACATTCACATATGATCATGAAGAAGAGCAGAAAGAATACTTTGGATGCCTGCTTAGGGCTTGTTTGGGCTTGAGCAGTGGGGGATGACACTGCTCTTCTGCCAGGCCCTGTATCTCGGCAAGGCAGGTAAACTTAGAGAGCATGAAAAGGCCATATATATGATAATTCAAAGAGGAAATGTAACCTTATGCAGAACTGATAGA